CTTCCCTGTGGCAGGTACTACTCCTCCGTTGCTGTGTCCACTGGCAGACCAGTCACAGCCGCCGCTGCTACCGCACTCCCCACTGCCTGCTCCTGCTCCTTACACTGCGGTGACATAGTCCCTGACTGAGCGTCGAGAGCCTGAGACTCGTGCTTCCACCCCTGAGCGTCGAGAGCCTGAGTCTAGCTTTGACCTTGAGCCTGAGCCTAGAGCTGCTGTCCGTGCTCGTATTCCTCGTGTTCGTCGTCCGCGTGCTCCGGCTGTCCCCGGCACTCACGACATGACACTCCGTCCTTCCTCTGTTCCTCAGCGTGTTGTCCTACCGTTACCTCCTGCGTCCTCTCTGCCTGACGTTGCTGACCCTCCGTTTGACCTTGCTCGTGCGTCCAGTCCGACTGTTACTCGCCTTCTTGCTACGGTTGTGACGGACCCTACGTTCTCGTCTCCTGCTGGGTCTGCCCTAGTAGCTGAGCTCGTTGACTTTGCTGCTGTGTACCGCCTAGACTACCTTGCGAGTCTTGTCTCTGACCCTGTCCCTGCCTGTCCTCCGTCCGTCGGGGGTGAGACTGCTCTTGGCTGTACTGCCCTTGGCTGTGACGTTCTTGAGGACAGACAGGAGGAGCTGGAGTGCCTTGCTGCCGCTTCACCCCATCACGCGACCATGCTGCTTGCCCCTGAGGGAGACCCGGATGCACTTGACATCCCCACCCCGCGCTCCTACAGGGAGGCGATTTTGGGTGAGTACTCCTCTCAGTGGCAGACAGCCATGGACGCAGAGATGGCTTCTTGGAAGTCCACAGGCACCTACGTCGACGAGGTTCCCCCACCTGGGGCAAACATCGTCAGTGGCATGTGGATTTTCAGGGTGAAGCGGCCGCCGGGTTCTCCGCCTGCCTTCAAGGCACGTTACGTTGCTCGAGGCTTCAGTCAGCGTGAGGGGGTTGACTTCTTTCAGACCTTCTCCCCCACCCCGAAGATGACCACTCTTCGGGTGTTGCTACACGTTGCAGCTCAGCGTGACTACGAGCTGCACTCCCTCGAATTCTCGACAGCTTTCTTACAGGGTAGCCTTCACGAGGCCATCTGGTTGCGCCGTCCACAGGGCTTCACTGGGTCGTTTCCTGAGGGTACCCAGTGGAGCCTACGGCGACCAGTGTACGGCCTGCGTCAGGCGCCCCGCGAGTGGCACGACACACTGAGGACGACACTTGCGGCTCTTGGGTTTGCTCCTTCGATTGCTGACCCGTCGCTGTTTCTATGCACCGACACTTCTCTGCCGCCGTTCTACATCCTTGTGTACGTTGACGACTTCGTTTTTGCTACTGCTGACACTGAGGCACTGGCCCTAGTGAAGGCGGAGCTGCAGGAGAGACACACCTGCACTGACCTGGGTGAGCTGCGGAGCTATCTTGGCTTGCAGATCACCCGGGACAGAGCACGGCGCACCATCACCCTCACTCTGTCACACATGGTGCACCAGGTCCTTCAGCGCTTCCGCTTCACATACTCCTCGCCACAGCCCACTCCTCTGGCTATCGGCCACTCGCTCTCAGCTCCACCTTCGGACGAGTCCGTAGAGCCGAGTGGTCCGTACCCAGAGCTTGTGGGTTGCCTCATGTACCTGATGACGTGCACACGACCTGACCTCGCGTACCCTCTCAGCCTTCTGGCTTGCTACGTGGCACACGGTAGACACCGAAAGGTGCACTTTGATGCTGCGAAGAGGGTACTGCGTTACTTGTGCAGCACATCGCGCACGGGGCTCGTGCTTGGAGGACGGGGTTCGGTTGTCCTCACAGGACACTCTGACGCTTCTTGGGCCGACGACCAGGCGACTCAGCGTTCGTCACAGGGTTACACCTTCAGTCTTGGCTCTGGTTCTGTCTCGTGGAGGTCCACTCGTTCTTCTTCTGTGCTTGGTTCCAGCTGTGAGGCCGAGATCTACGCTGGGGCCATGGCTGCACAGGAGCTCCGCTGGCTCACCTACCTGCTGACCGACTTGGGGGAGCGGCCTCGTTCTCCTCTAGTTCTGTACGTCGACAACAAGGCAATGCTTGCCTTGTGTCGCGAGCAGAGACTGGAGCACCGAACGAAGCACATTGCTCTTCGCTACTTCCTTGCGCGTGAGCTGCAGCAGCGTGGTCAGCTGCGCCTTGCTTTCATGGCCTCTCGGGCCAACACTGCTGATGTCTTCACCAAGGCACTTGGGTCTGGTGATCATCAGCGTTTCTGCACTGCTCTTGGGCTTGTGCCCACTCCGCCTCACCTGCTGGTTGCTTGATTTGCTCTTGTTGTACACTGCTATATATCTTTATAGCTGCATGTTTTCTCTTGCTAGGTTGTGATCAGTGTAGTGCCTTGCTATTATATACCTCTGCATGTGAACTGGCCTTGTGGCCACTTGCTTGTGCTCAGAATGCATGGTGACCTTGTGATCCACCCTGAGCTGTGTTCTCTTCTGCAGACTGGTCTTGTGACCGCTTGTTGTGTTTGCTATCCCCTACTTTGCCTATGGGGGTGTGTCAAATTACACTTGTATCTCTAGGCTACAGTAGGGTCACTCCTTAGTGAGTACAACACTTTAGGGTTAGGTTTCCCCTACTTGTACTCACCTCTTGCCTAGTTCAATCATCATTCCTAGTTCTATTCTTAACAGTTTCTGTGCGATGTTGACTGTCTTGCGCAGGAGCTGAAGCTTGACGGTTGTCGAAGGTGAATGACCTCTCGGAGTTGACGCGGCTGTCTTCTTCTGGGAGAGGGAGTCCAGCAACTCCACGTGCATAGCTCGAGCCATCGATGCTCATGGCTTGATGGCTCTCAAGAGCGTTGATGCGGGCGACCAGCTGCTCAACGAGAGCGGCGCTGACGGAGGTCACCGCTGATGGTGCAATGGGTGTTGCTGGTGGTGGGCCCGGAGAATCTGCAGTCCCCTTTGTAATTGTTTAACGAAAATTTTATAAAAAGGTTGTTCTAGAAAGAACGGGAATCTTAGCAATCCTTATATTCCACTCTAGCTCTCATACCATGTTGTTATAGGTGAAGGATCGTATTGAACAGGATAAGGCTGTTAAGATTAAGGAAAGACTATGAAGTCTCTAAGTGACCTTGTTGATAAGATTGAAAGAGAACAATATAATTAAAGGAAGGTGATACAAGGAATAAATAGCAATCCTAGCTAGCCATGTACTCTGAGGGGTACATTCCCTTATTAACTGAATTACATTGCTACAGTAACCACGACTATTGCTATTCTTGACAGTTGCCGTGTTGCAGTGCGTAACTACCAAGTGCGGTTACTGGGCAGTCAAGGGTCACGACCGTTGACTGTCTTCGACTGTTGACCTTCGGGTGACCCTCGACCTTCCGCATGCTCTATATGAGCTATTGCGTTACTGACACAGGCGCGTTGCTTCGTTATGGAGTGACGCACGAGTGGAGAGCCTTCGGGAATGTTATGATAACCTTTCGGTGATTCCAACAATCATCAATGTCATAAAGGTGATCTTACGTATTATTAAATTATGATGTTTTGAATTAGGTAAAGGCATGATGGTGGGCATTGTGAGTGGAGTGGGCTGATCTCAACTCAGCGCACCATTGGTAATAGAGAATGAAACAATAAGCTCAGGGAAAATATGTCAATGGTAACTTACATGGGGCATTATAACGCGTACGGTAACGATTTCAACGCGTTTGGTAACTCGCTTAACGCGTATGGTAACTATACACTAGCAGCCCATCACGCGAATGGTAACTAGAAGAAAGCCTCGCCCAAAATGACCCTGATTCTGGTTTTTCCCGCTCGCGTCAGACTAAATTGACGAATCTTGAAGCAGAAACCTCTGACACACTCTCCGAAATTCTGACACATTTTTCCGAAATTTTGACACACTCTCCGAAATCCTGACACACTTTCCGATTTTCAAGCTAATTGCAAAAACGTAAGTGTTGTGAAAACAACGTTTCTTACATAACTGATATTCTGGCGCTCTTTCAGCAAACTGTTTGTACTTCATTCTATCGTGCAGCCGGGGCAAACAAATCTATACCCCTTTCAGATGGCAAATGAATTTGAGAGGCGACCCTAAACTCCTTGCGAGAAGGCATTTATGGTTCTTAAAAAAAAAGAATGAAACATGTAATTCTAAAGATGTGTATTTTTCCCACATGCAAAAATTCTCCAACGTTACAGTAATTACAAAAAGTAAAAGCCCCGAGGTGCTTTCGGGGAATGTTTTCTTTTTTATCATTTTGCAAGTTCGCAATCATGCTATAAAAAATATGATTTTAACCGTTTTTGTACGAGCTACATATATATTTAAAACGGCTCTGAAACTTTTCGGTCCGTGGTAGTAGAACAAACGGGGTCCTTCAAAGTCGCGGCTAGACTTGTTCAAGATAAAACTGTGCGGAAAAGCTTTCAAATTTGATACATTCCTCGTTGTCAGGATCATTTCGGCGGGAGTTTCATGTAGTTACCATTCGCGTGATGGGCTGCTAGTGTATAGTTACCATACGCGTTAAGCGAGTTACCAACCGTGTTAAGCGAGTCACCAAACGTGTTAAGCGAGTTACCAAACGCGTTAAGCGAGTTACCAAACGCGTTGAAATCGTTACCGTACGCGTTATAGTGCCCCATGTAAGTTACCATTGACATATTTTCCCATAAGCTCAACCCTCGAGTTTTCGCACCACGCACAACCCCTTCATCTCCCGCCACACGGCAGAGAAAACATCACACGAGTCGTTGGCGAAGAGACGAGAGCCGTGAACGACGTCGCAAACGCCAACTTCTGTTTCGGTTGAACGTCACTGGCCACCCAAGCATGTCCCCTCCCCTCCCAATCCAACATCCACTCCACACCATTTTCTTCTGCTTCCCCTCCACCCTTCTGGTTTCGAATTTCTCGGTTGAGGCTGGTCGCCTTTGTCCCATCCGTCGCTGTTGCTTCCGTTCACTCTCCATCTCCGGCTACCCAGGCTACCAGCGAGCCGACGCCATGGACGCGATTTTCGCGCGCCTTTTCCCCGCTCCCAAGGGCCCGCACCCGCAGGGGAATGGCGCTCCCGATGGGCGCGGAAAGGATGGGCGCCGGGGGGCGAAAGCGAGTAACGAGGGCGTTCTGCGCACTGGACTGCTGGCCGGTAAGGAGTACGCGCAATTGAGACGCTGGATCGCTGGCCGGTAATGCTCGCGCGCGATTGCGACTCTGGATTGCTGTTTGGTATTGATTACGCGGGTGTGCGACGATGGGTTGGGTTACGCGCGATTCCGACGATGGATCGTTGGCAGTAGAATTACGGAAGATTGCCCCCCTGCCTCGCACCCCTCCTCCTCCCTGCATCCTCTCCCCCCTTTCCTCCCTCCCTCCCTCCCTCCCTCCCTCCCTCACTTCCCGCCTCCCTCGTTTCCCTCCCCCCTTCCCTCCTTCACTCCCCCCCTCCTCCCACTCACTCCCTCCAGCGTCCGCCTTTGCAGCGGGCTCTGGTCTGCTGCTCGCCGCGCACCACCACACCTCACCGCTCGCCCTCGCAGCCGACCCCACCGACACGCAGAAGCAGGTGTGTGGCGGTGCGGTACGGTACGGTACGGTAACCACACCACATCTCTTATCTCAAAGCACAGCAGATGAGGTGCCTGAGATTGGGCGGGCAGACAACCAACAGATGAGGTGCCTGAGTTTGGGCGGGCAGACAACCAACAGATGAGGTGCCTGAGATTGGGCGGGCAGACAACCAACAGATGAGGTGCCTGAGATTGGGCGGGCAGACAACCAACAGATGAGGTGCCTGAGATTGGGCGGGCAGACAACCAACAGATGAGGTGCCTGCGATTGGGCAGGCAGACAACCAACAGATGAGGTGCCTGAGATTGGGCGGGCAGACAACCAACAGATGAGGTGCCTGAGATTGGGCGGGCAGACAACCAACAGACCAGACCAGCTCAGATCTAACCAGATGGGACGAATGCTGAGGTGCCTGAGACTGGCCCAGCTCGTCCCTCTGGTCCAATCCCTTGAGGCACCTCAGTATTCGTCCCCCACTTACCCGTTCTTTGAGGGCATCTCATAGTCTGTCCTTTTTTGAGGCACCTCAAAAATCAGCTCGTCCCTCTGTCCCTTGAGGCACCTCAGTGTTCGTCCCCCACTTACCGTTCTCCAAGGGCACCTCTTAATCCGTCCCTTCTGTTACCGAATCTCTTTGAAGTCGATATGTTCGCTGCGCATTCTATCAAGCCAACCACCTCCCCAACGCACACTCCCCCTATACTCCCGCGCGCCGCCCACCCTCCCCTCCCAGGCCTCCACCATGCTGCCACTTGGCAGCCTCGCAGTGGCCGTGGCTGACGTGGCAGCAGCAGCAGTGGAAACGGTGCGTGAGCCGGGCACAGGCGTGGAGTTCCCCGTGGTGCTGAGCGATGATGCGGGGGCGGGGGAGGGGGAGGTCAAGGCGGCAAAGGAGGGGAAGAAGGGGAAGAAGGGGGGGAAGGAGGGGAAGGCGGTGCCGTCGGATCGCACGCTGGCGGGGGTTGGGGTGCGCAACAAGAACCTGCTGGGGCTGAAGAACATCAAGGTGTATGCTTACGGTGAGTGGAGAGAGAGCATAAGCATACGCTGATGGTGAGTGCGTTTGAGGGATACAGTGGACAGTGAGTGCTCAGCAGTCTGCAGCAGCAAGGTGTATGTATGCGTACAATGAGTAGTATGAATGCGCGATTGGGTGAATCCACGTGGGGCACACACACAGCCTTAGCTTTCCTGCCCACCACCATCCCACCCGCGCTCCTTCCCTCCTCCTCTCACTCCCCTCTTTTGTCCTCCCACCTCAACCATCCTTCCTGCGCCTCCCTTCCCATCCTTACCCGGCCCCCTACCATCCTTCCCACGGCCAGGGGTGTACGTGGACGAGGCGGCACTCAGGAGGCGGCTGGGCAGCAAGTACAGCGGGGTGAAAAGGGAGGCGCTGTGGGGCAGCCGGTGGCTCGGGGAGGATGCCATGCCATCTCCCCCCCATCCTTCCCCGATGTTGTCCACCTCCCGTCCCCCTCGTACCCTCTTCTCCTCCAACCGCCAGGGGTGTGTGTACGTGGTCAAGGGGGGCCTCAAGAGGGGGTTGGGCAGCAAGTACGGGGGGATGAAGGGGGAGGCGCTGAGGGGCAGGCAGTCAGAGTGACACTGCACCCTTACCCAGCGCACTAGCAATCACCCCCTTTGCTGCTACCCCCCATCTCCCCTCCTCCCCCACGGCCAGGCGTGTACGTGGACGAAGCGGCCCTGAAGAAGCAGCTGGGCAGCAAGTACGGGGGGATGAAGGGGGAGGCGCTCAAGGGCAGCCGGTGGCTCGTGGAGGATGCCATCACCGCTGACGTCACCATGGCCGTGCGCCTCGTCATCTTCTACAGGTGACGATGCCTGATGACGTGTCAATTGTGACGTCACTGCTGACGTCACCATGGCTGTGCGCCTTGTCATCTTCTATGATGCCCGATGACGTGTCATTTATGACATGCCATCACTATTTATTTCTTCCATGCACCTCCATGCACCTCCTGCCATGCATCCTGCCAGGTGACGAGGTGGTGTTTCTCGCGACTCACAACTCCCCTCCCCTTTGGTGACAAGCACTTGGCGATGGAGCAGGTGCAGGCCGCGTTCAACGAGCAATCAGACGAGACGCCCACTCAAAACTCCCCTCCCCTCCCCTCCCCTCCCCTCCCCTCCCCTCCCCTCCCCTCCCCTCCCATCCCCTCCCCTCCCCACCCCTCCCATCCCCACCCCTCCCATCCCATCCCCACCCACCCCCCTCTGCGGGCAGGCATCTGAAGATGGGGCAGGTGCGGGATGCGTTCAACGATTCGCTGGGGGGGCGCATGAAGGAGCTCAGTGGGGGGGTGCCGCAGACGGAGCTGCTGCACAGGTGAGAAAGGATGGTTTCGAGCCGCTGCAAGCCTACTAAGAGTCTAGATCGATCCACACTACATGCTGGAGCTGCTGCCTGCACAGGTGAGCGCGGATGGCATGGCATGGCACGGCACGGCACGCACACCATTGCGTTTTTACCATTTACTTGGTTGGTGCATGCATGCTGTCAAAACATGAATATCTTTATTTGTATCTAGGCTATGTAGGGGCTAGCCTTAGGGGGTACACAGAACTTCTCGATACTCTACTTGTATCTCTCTTGTTGACCGCATACACCCATAGTCTTAAGTTCAACACATGCGTGTGCGTTGGTGCTTATCATGTGCATCGGGGCTCGGCTTGTATGTTAATCACGCAAGGGCGCATGAAGGGGCTGAGTGGCGGGGTGCTGTGCCCCAGACAGACCTGCTGTGCAGGTGAGTGAATGCATGGGGCATGCATGCTGGTGCTTATTATGTGCATGGGGCATGCATGCTGGTGCTTATTATGTGCATGGGGCATGCATGCTGGTGCTTATTATGTGCATGGGGCATCCATGCTGGTGCTTATTATGTGCATGGGGCATGCATGCTGGTGCTTATTATGTGCATGGGGCATGCATGCTGGTGCTTATTATGTGCACGGGGGCTTTCCCTGTGTGTTAGAGCTCTAAAGCCCCCGTGAAGGGCCTATGTGGACCGGCGTGCATGTTGGTGCTGATCATGTGTAGGAGCTGAGTGGGGGGCTGGCAGGGCTGAACAATGATGGCATGGCAGTCTGTCTGGGTGCGCGGATGGGCATGCGGCTTGCATGCAGCGGTAGACCGCATTGGGTCTCCGGGTAGGAACACACGTGACCGCGTCTGCTACAAAGTTTATTGCAGAGGTTCCTTTTGAGGCGCGGTAGAAATATCTGGCAGAGAATTCTCACCACGAGGCCAGGCCAAAACCCTTTTTCGAATCCAATTCTAGAGCACATTAGGCTGCCTGCCAGGAGCTGACATGACTGCTACAAACATCTCCATGGGGGGGGGGGATGAGTGTGATGCTGGCGGGGATGAGTGTGATGCTGGCGGGGATGAGTGTGATGCTGGCGGGGATGAGTGTGATGCTGGCGGGGATGAGTGTGATGCTGGCGGGGATGAGTGTGATGCTGGCGGGGATGAGTGTGATGCTGGCGGGGATGAGTGTGATGCTGGCGGGGATGAGTGTGATGCTGGCGAGGATGAGTGTGATGCTGGCGGGGATGAGTGTGATGCTGGCGGGGATGAGTGTGATGCTGGCGGGGACGAGTGTGATGCTGGCGGGGATGAGTGTGATGCTGGCGGGGATGAGTGTGATGCTGGAGCGGTGCTTGCTGCTAGACTCCTTTCCCCCCTCCCCCGTCTCCCCTCTCCTAAACACCACTCACCCCACCTCACCCCACCCCACCCCACCCCACCGCACCCGAACCCGGCCTCCCCAGTTTCACCAAGTGGTTCACGAATGACATCAAGCTGCAACCTGGTTACTCCCATTCGTGTATTCCCAAACACCACTCACCCTACCTAGTTCCCACCCCACCCCAACCCGCCCTTCCAGTTTCACCAAGTTGTTTACGAATGACAGCAAGCTGCTCTGAGCTACTACCCTTCAGTTATTCCAAACACCACTCACCCTCACCCCAAGCCACCTCACCACACCCCACCTCACCTCACCCCACCCACCCCACCCCACCCCAACCCGCCCTCCCCAGTTTCACCAAGTGGTTCACCAACGACATCAAGCTGCATCCCAATACTTCCACACCCCCAAGTGGTACCCCTTCCCCCCCACTACACCCACTCCCCCCTCTTCTCCCTCCCCCTTTCTCCGCCCAGTTTCACCAAGTGGTTCACCAACGACATCAAGCTGCATCGGGGCACGGTCATTGACATCACTCGCCGCCCAGGCCATGTGCTAGAGACAAAGAGTGAGTCTGATAGGGTTAAAGCGACGGTGCACATTTGCCACCCAAAACCCAGAACCCTGGCGAACTGTTACTGCGGATGGAAAGTGTCCGCACGAAATCCTGGTTTTCGCCAGCCAGCACTTTCGCGCTGGCAAGCCTGGTTCAAAAAAAAAACTTCTGAACCCAACACTGCCAAAAGTTGCCCGTCGCTTTAAGAGATGCCGCCCAGGCCATGTGCTAGAGACAAAAAGTGAGTCTGATAGGGTTAAGAGATGCCGCCCAGGCCATGTGCTAGAGACAAAGAGTGAGTCTGATAGGGTTAAGAGATGCTGCCCAGGCCATGTGCTAGAGACAAAAAGTGAGTCTGATAGGGTTAAGAGATGCCGCCCAGGCCACGTGCTAGAGACAAAGAGTGAGTCTGATAGGGTTAAGAGATGCCGCCCAGGCCATGTGCTAGAGACAAAAAGTGAGTCTGATAGGGTTAAGAGATGCCGCCCAGGCCATGTGCTAGAGACAAAGAGTGAGTCTGATAGGGTTAAGAGATGCCGCCCAGGACATGTGCTAGAGACAAAGAGTGAGTCTGATAGGGTTAAGAGATGCCGCCCAGGCCATGTGCTAGAGACAAAGAGTGAGTCTGATAGGGTTAAGAGATGCCGCTCAGGCCATGTGCTAGAGACAAAGAGTGAGCCTGATAGGGCCAAGAGATGCCGCCCAGGCCATGTGCTAGAGACAAAGAGTGAGTCTGGCAGTGCTAGAAACAAAAAATGAGTCGGGCGGAGCTAGAGACAAAATTTGAGTCGGGCGGTGCTAGTGACAAAATCTGAGTCGGGCGGTGCTAGAGACAAAATGCGAGGCTGGTGGTGCTAGAGACAAAAAATGAGTCGGATAATGGGATCATGCTCGTGAGCCATCACTCTTCTTTTTGACAGAGCAGCACTGCACAAAGACGAAAGCAAAAACAAAAGCAACCACACACAGCAACACTTGCCATGTTCACCCTATACTGCCTCCCCTGCTCCATACAACAGTCTGCCCATACATGAAATTTGATGCTACTGCACTTCTACCGAGTCTAATCCGCCTTCATTCCCTCACATTCCCTCGCATTCCCTCCCATTTTCTCCCATTCCCTCCCATTCCCTCCCATTCCCAGTCATTTCCCCTCGTTCCCACTCATGCCCTCGTACCCTCTCTCATTCTCTACTTACCGGTACCAGCTCTTATCCCCTCCCAACAATTCTTCCCCCCCCAACGCCCCCGCTCGCTCACTTCCGCCAGTTGACGGCAAGTACATGGGATCCACTAAGAGCGCGCTTATATCGCGGGCGTTGTTTGAGCTCTATGTGGGGGACAAGCCGTTTGACAAGAAGGCGCGCGAGGGGCTGGTGGACAAACTCATTTCCGTCGTTCACTCGTAGAGCACTCCTAGAACACTCCTGAAGCACTCCTGAAGCACACTTGAATGACTTCTCTCCTTGGTGTCAGGACTCAGCGCAGCAGCATTGTTGCGAGTTCCAGCAACTAGTGCATGCAGCACCGTATGCACCAAAGCTTATGGCGTTTATATTTAATAAGGGACGCTAGAATAGGGCCTGGCCCCCTTGGAGGTCCGACTACTAAGGTTGATTGGGGGCACCTACTGTATTTGTTTTAGCAAATCCACACCCTGAAAACTTCAGGGGAGCACCCAGCAGCACTGGCTGCTCCTGCTTCTTGAACCCTGCTCTCGTCTTCACCCTTACGATCTAGGTCGGCGCAGCAAACGGGGCGCGTTCGCCAACAAATAACGGGCTGAAATCTCAAGTTGATATAGGTGACTGACAGGTCCCAAACGTGGATCTCTGCAAGTTGATATAGGTGACTGAGTGATGTGATAATACTGAGTTGGTTTTGGTGCATTTATGCACGCAATTATAACAAATCAGGTATACACCATACCCAAGATTTCCTTCAATTGTCGGAGCATTTGCTGCTACGGAGCAGTGGCACCTGCGCTGAGGACGACAACAGGCAGGCACCTCCCGCGGAGCCTGTGCAGAGCACACGACACGCTCAAATGCTCCAATGAGACTGGAGTCATCATCGCCTGAAATTATCAATCTTGGATGCTGGTCAAATCTCCGTGCTCTGCGCGGCGACGATGACGGTTTGGATTTGACACGCTGTTCATGCAAGGCTGCCCCGACTGACCCCTAAAGTTTCCCGACTTGTCTGCCTTTGTGTCTTGTGTTCAGACTGGACACCTCTTCTGCCTTTGTGTCTTAGGGCGTGTTGCAAGTAAGGGATCGATCGTCACTCTGAACCGATCCCAATTGTTGTAAAACTTTGTAGCGTCTGGTTACCATGCTACAGTCTCAGCTTTGTGAATGACCGAGGAAACTGACGAAATCCAGCTCGATCGCCTCGGCGGTGAAGTTCGATCGCCAGATTGACGACACAGAAAACCTACAGCTACGAAATCATTTCGCGATGCACAGAAATATCTCGCATGCCTGTGCTATACATGCCACAAAATTAGACGAGACATTGGCGTATAGGATGTTCAATGTTTGAGTAACGCGAAATCACACTGTCGCTATACTCCAGATGGTTCTACGCTTGGGCGGTCGTGGTACAGCTCGTTTCGGCGGATCGATAATGCAGTGAGCCGAGGATCTACGACAAGGGATCGGTGTATATCCACGATCCTTCGATTTTCTAACTTGAAACACGCCCTGATATTCACCCAGTTTTGCAAAGCAGATCGACGTCAACCCTGGGCAGGTGAGACTATGAAATACCTGAAGCTTTTCCCACTCCAAGGGTACGCCTGCCAGTTCTACAGTACCCTCCTCAACCTCGGCACACCCGCCAGGTAGTACCCCGCCAAGTGCGTCCACCTGAAGCAGGGCATTCAAATCTGCTGACAGCGCATTCTCAACTCAAATGTTTCCCGCAGCGCGCAAATCTTGGAATCAGAGCATTCAAATCCATGCCTCACGGAACCAAGGCATTTTGCAGCGTTTTGTTACAAAGCGGCACCGTACTGAACGGCTTCGTAACGCCCTCGCGTTGTTGAGAAAGCCATTCCTGCCAAGCATAAACACCGCTCGGCTGCTCATTTCTGCAATTGAGCATTCATTCTGTATTTTCACCTCACAAGCCAAAACTATCGATTCACCAGCTAGTTGTTCAGTCCGCAATGGGGCTCCAACATTACCATGGCGCGACGATAGTTTTCCTAGTCGTCGCCACATGTTTCGGCGGTGAGTGTCGCGGCATTTGTACCTGGCGTTGTAAAATCTCTGAAAGCCACTTCCGCAGGAAATTCATCCCTTGAATCTCATTTGGTTCTCTGAAACTCTTATCTTTCACAAGCTTACTTATTCCATACGTGACGCTGTCTTCCACGTGCGCAGCCACAAACTCGGCGCCCGCCCCTCCCGACGAGGCGGCCCTTAAAGAAGCGCTCGCGTCCTTAAAGAACTCGTTGGTCGTCGTGAACATGAATAAACCCACTGGCGCGGGTCCCTGCCCGTTGCCCAAGACCGAAAAGGCTCAAGCTCTTGGAAATCTGACGGGTGAGAGGCTTTTGCGAATCTCGCCAAGAAGCTTGGCGGGATCTCGAGATCGTTACCTGGGGGTTACCCTGGGCCAGTTTGAGAAAACATTATGTGGGGATGAATTTAAGGGATAAACTTTAAAATTGCTGCCATTAGCCCTCAAATAGCTTCATATCATACAGACACACACCCAGGCCGCATGTCTTCCCCGTTCTTCAAGAAGTAACTTCGCTCCTCAGAATATCCGTCCTTTGTTTGCCCTCCTTCCCACTTTCATTCTTTTCACACTTTTCCAACCACCTCTGCTCTCTCCCCCATGTTCCACCGCTCTCCCCCGCGCAGAGATTCTCGCTGCGCGATTGAACGGATCCAGAGTTGTTGGGTCCACGGGCGACGCCGGCGCCAGCGGTCGAATCTGCCTAGCCATCTATGAGTAAGTCGCTGCGCCGGCCAGCAAGAATAGTTGACCCAATCCCAGCTCGTCTTCCTCACGAACCCCCCCATCCAGGTTGGTTTTAAGCCTCAGCTCGTCTGTTCCAGCCGGTGTTTTCATCTCTCTTAGCGATCATCTCTCTGAGCGATGTTTTCGCTTCTCTAAACGATCATCAGAGCGATGCTTTCATCTCGGAGCGACGCTTTCATCTCGGAGCGACGCTTTCATCTCTGAGCGACGCTTTCATCTCTGAGCGACGCTTTCATCTCTGAGCGACGCTTTCATCTCTGAGCGACGCTTTCATCTCTGAGCGATGCTTTCATCTTCTGAAGTGATGCTTTGATCTCCCTCACTGATGCTTTCATCTCCCTCCCAATGCGAACCCCGTCATTCTTTCTTCTTCCGGTCCCTTGTGGCGAACGTTGACTGAATCCGTCAGGCTAGACGGAGACTACAACGTCTTCTACCACGTCATCGTCTCCACTTCCAAACCGGGTGTACCGATCTCCACCTTCATCGGGCAAGGCGCGGGAGGAAAGGCGGGAACCACCGTTCTCGAGATTGCCAGAGCCAGAGCCACGTGGAAAAATAAAACTGTTCCGCCGCCTTCCCCTCTAACCAAGGACCCGAAATACAAGTTCATACCTGCATACACCTATGCCTTGACGGGGACGTGGCTTAAAACGAGTACGCTGTCAACCTTGCCGAATGGCAATACTGTTAAGGAGCTGGTGGATGCCATGATGACAGCAAAGGGGTACTATGGGGGATTCGCAACGGCGGCTTTTAAGGCGGGAGCAGCGAGAGGGCAGTTCAAGAAAGATCCCCTCCCACCGGCACCTGCGGGGAAAGAGGGAGACAAGAATGAGACACTCGTTCTAGTTGGTAAGAGTCCTCCACACTTATTGGTTGGGAAAAAGGCATTTTAGCAAGAGCCGTGCTCTTCCACACTCTCTGCAGCACCATATGCGAACCCATTCTTTCTTGCTCATTGATTCTGTCACCACGACTCTCTTCCTTTTTTACCTTCACTCCCACGCCTGCTCTCCCCCTCGCTCAAGCCCCTTCCTTTCTTTCACCATCTCTCCCCCACCTCACCATCTCTGCCCCACCCTCACCATCTCTCCCCCGCCCTCACCTTTGACTTCACTCCCACAATCGTTCAGGAGTGGTGGGGACAAAGCTCGAGGACAAGAATGTTCACTCCAGGTCCTCTGGTGACATGTACGGCGCAGGCTGCGTTACTATCGCTGCCTTTCTGTAAGCCTCTCCTCCGTTTCCTCCACCCCTCTCTTCCCCTCTCGCACTCTCACCGTTCCCGCTTTGCTACCCTCTCACTCTCTCTCACACTCCCCTCCCTGTCTCACCTTGATCTCTCACCCTCTCTTCCCTTATCCCCTCCCTCCCTTCCCTCTTCACTCCCTCTGGTCTCCCCCTATTCTCTGATACTCCTGTCTATCCTCATCCCCTCTCCTCCTTCGCCCGCTCTCTCACCCTTTCCTCCTTTCCCCACTCTCTCAGCCTTTCCTCCTCCCCCCAATCTCTCTCGTTCTCCTCCTCTCACCAATCTCTCACCCTCTCCTCCTTCTCGCGCTCTCTCACCCTTTCCTCCCCCCTCACTCTTCTCGCCCTTCCCCTCGTCCCTCACTCTTCTCGCCCTTCCCCTCTTCCCTCACTCTTCTCACCATCCAACACTTTTTCCCATCTAAATCTGCACCCTGTTCCCCCCCATAGGCGCCTGCCCGTCCTTTGCCCTCCTCCCACCCGGCCTTGCCCCTCCTCTCCCCTCCTTGTCCCTCTCGTTTCTCCTCCTTGTCCCCCCTTGCCCCTCCTTACCCCTCACAGCAACACCACCAGTAACGACTACAGCATTCGCTACCGCATCGGCGTGAACACAAGTGACCCGGACGGGCCCACAGAGGTACTCTTAGCCCAGGGCTATGACGTGCCACTCACGCTGGTCAACGGGGGTGACACGTGGACCAAACACACGGTCCCGGACGCTAATGTGACTGTCGGGTACATGTACGAAATCACCGGCAGCATTCCCGCGACGTACAAGGCATTGATGAATGGAATACTGGCTGCACCGCAGGCTTTCTCTGCTGTTCTCCTCACCAGCTATTTTGACCTTGGTGCGCTGAGGGGCTGGTTTGTCAATAGTACTCTGGCGGGACAGAATGGGTGCGCCATTGTCTAGGGGGTGAAAAGCAACAACCAGAACACTGAAATATGATGCATGTCAAATGTAGAAGCTGGTTGTGGTGATTTTGTATACGTATATATATACATATATATATATATATATAAGGTCTGGTGTTGTTGTTTGAAGGTATAGGTGACTAGTAGGTCTGGTGTGTTGAGAAGGGGCCAGTGTGACCAAGTCTGTGTGTGTATTTCTGTATTACTGTAAATTTGTACAGTACCTACTAGTACTATTCCCAGTGTGCCTACTGTTTCACTTTTATCCATCCCATCATACATCTGGCGAAGGCAACAGCATGACAATGCTGCCACCGAATGAGCCACACCCCACTAGCCACCACCCACTAGCCACCTATCTCTTCCAACCAGCAACGCCCTTCCAGACGCTCCAACGATCGTCCCCACTCACTGAATGGCCATCTTACCATAACCAAATGAATGTTCCAATCGATTGTGCAAGCCCTAAGTCACACAGCCATCTTGCCCCGCTTGCTTGCCTCATAGCTCGCCACGAGCTCCCGCAACCCACCTTCCTTTGCTTCCTCCTGTTGCTCCATCTTGCCCCTCTTTTCTCTCCTCCTTCCCCACCAGTCACTCCCACAAACCCCTTGCTAGTAGCAACTGGCTAAGGAGGAGCAGCAGGGTCAGCCCGCTTGGCAATTGTGATGCGCCCACCAGCCATGGCAATCATCACCTTCAGCTGGTCTATCTTCCCGATCTGCCCTCCATTCCCCCCCTCTGCTCTCTCCTCCCTCCCTACCAATCTCTCCCACCAACTCTCGCGAGTCACATCTGCCTACGGAGGAGCAGCAGGGTCTGTTCGTTTCGCAATGGTGATGCGGCCGCCAGCCATGGCAATCATGGCCTTGAGCTGCTCCATCTTGCCACTCTCGCTCTCTTCTCTACCAGTCTCTCGCTAAGGAGGAGCAGCAGGGTCAGCCCGCTTGGCAATGGTGATGCGCCCGCCAGCCATGGCAATCATCGCCTTCAGCTGCTCCATCTTGCCCCGCTCGCTCGCCTCATAGCTCGCCACTCGCTCCCGCAACCCGCCTTCCTTGGCTGCTGCCCGCTGCTCCCTGCGCGCCTTCTCCCGGGCCAGCCTGGTTTAGGGAACACGGTGGTATGGATGGATAGATGATTACAAAGAGGTAAAAAACCAGGATAAGACAGGGACTACGACTAGGGTAATGGCAAGGGCAGGGCAAGCGCGAATGGATATCACAGAGCAGCACGTTTCCTTTTTCCATGCATCTCCTCACACCCGTTGCCCTCTCCGCTACACACAGCCTCACGTGCAGACTGAGCTGAGCAGCAGTTCGCCTCACTCGCACACAACAATCACCTGGATAGAAATGATGCCTCAGGTGTTTGTCAACCACCTGAGGTGTTTGTCAAATGCAGAAAATAGTCCCTCCTGCCACTCTCACCATGTGGCACATCCCTCTCACCATGCCCTTGTCAGGGCTCTGCTCCCTCTCTCTCTCGCGCACTCTCTCTGCGCCGTGCCATGCGCTCTGCAATCACCGCCTCTCTCCCTGTCTCCCCAGGCACCAACTCCTCCACCCGCATCACACTGAGAAAGACTTGCCCCACTCACAAACAACACATACATCCCACTCACCGGGCCTGAAAGTAATCTCCCTCCCCCATCACGTCCTTCTCTCGCATCCCCATGTCAGGGCTCTGCTCCCTCTCCCTCGCACTCTCTCTGCGCCGCGCCATGCGCTCTGCAACCACCGCCTCTCGCCCTGTCTCCCGCGGAACCACCTCCTCCAAACGCATCGCCTGCCGCTCCCTCTCCCGCTTCCTCTCCATCCTCTCCCTCGCTTTCCTCTCCGCCCTACTCTCCTCCTCCTCCTCCCCTTCCAACCCTCCTCGCCCTCCTCTCCCCAGACTAGCTCCCCCAGCGCCCCAGGGAACCATTCCACACACCCCCACTCCCCCCGCCCCCCCCGACCCCCCAGCTCCCCCCACTCCCCCTGCACCCGCTCCCCCCGCTCCCCCTTCTCCCCCTGCCCGTCCCCCAAGCCCCCAGTCGTGGTTGGAGCGGGGAGCAGCAGCAGCAGTGATTGAGCCGTCATAGTAGTTGGGTGGGAGCTTGCCGGCGTTCCAGGTGCGGACAAAGAGGGAGAAGAGCTCGTGGGTCTGCTCTGAGGAGAGCGAGGAGAAGAAGATGCGCCTGGCTTGTAGCAGCCACGTGGAGAACTCGGGGTTGCGGGCGAAGTAGTCTGAATCAGAGATCTGAGGCACCTGGGGGAGGAAAAGAGAAGGGAGCGACGGGGACACAGGACGACAGAAGGGGTGTGCAATGATGGGAAAAAGGTGGACAGAGGGGCCCAGAGGGGGGCAGAGGGGGGCAGAGGGAGGCAGAGGGGGGCAGAGGGGGGCAGAGGGGGGCAGAGGGGGGCAGAGGGGGACAAAAGGGGGGCAGAGGGGGGCAGAGGGAGGCAGAGGGGGGCAGAGGGGGGCAGAGGGGGGCAGAGGGGGACAAAAGGGGGGCAGAGGGGGGCAGAGGGGGGCAAAGGGGGGCAGAGGGGGGCAGTGGGGGGCAGAAGAGTGAAGACAGGCGCGAGAGGGGAGTGTGCAGTGCGAGGTGGAGTGGAGAGAGGGGTGAGCAGGGGTGAGGGGGGCAGGTGGAGTATAGGGAGCAGAGTGGAGGAGGAGGAAAAGAGAGCTCGATTGTTAATAGGGGCGCAGAAGAAAGACGCAACAAGCTCGTTTGATACGTACCTCGGGATTGGGTGCACGCACAACCTCGGGATTGGGTGCACGAACCTCGGGATTGGGTGTACGAACCTCGGGATTGGGTGTACGAACCTCGGGATTGGGTGTACGAACCTCGGGATTGGGTGTACGAACCTCGGGATTGGGTGTACGAACCTCGGGATTGGGTGTACGAACCTCGGGATTGGGTGTGAGGTCCTCCTCTTCCTCCTCCGCTACCCCTGCCTTGGTTCTTGTGCCTGCCTCCTCACCACCTTTCTCCTTTCCCTTCCGCTTGTGCTCTGACCCATGCCATGCACCACATGCCATGCACCCCATGCCATACACCCCATGCCATGCACCTCATGCCATACACCCCATGCTATGCACACCATGCTATGCACCCCAAGCCAATCACACCCCATGCCATGCCCCCCATGCCATAAGCAGCAGCGACACATGCAGACAACGGAACAAACAGGCAAGTAAGCTGATCAGGTCCATGAACGGGACAGCACAGCTTCAGCAGAACCGTTTATGCGTGTTGTAAGGCGATTGCTCCAGAAGGAACAGCACAGAAGGTGAGGTGAGGTTGACCGTTGACGTGGCATCCGCATTCATGCTATTCTAAAGTAGAAATAAATAAGTGGTGGAGAGGAGCCAGAGATGACTGCGAACCAAACAGCAGCATGAATCAAGTACCAGTTGAATGAAAGTGTTGAATCTCATAAATTGACTCTCTATTCCTAAACCCACCGACCTCCCTACCAGGTTTTTTGCCTCCTCCTCACTCACCTTTAAGAAGCTTCTTCGCCTCCTTAAGAAGCTTCCTCTTCTTCCGCCTCTCCTTGCGCTTTTTCCTCCTCCTCCGCTCGTCCTCGCTGCTGCTGACGTCACTCTCACTCTCCGAAGAAGAAGCTGACGTGGCATCATCATCATCGTCATCTGAAGACAAGCTGCTGCTCCGCTCTCTCCGCTTTGACTTCTTCCGTTTCCGCTTTTCCTCTTTCTTCCCCCTTCCCTCCCCCTTCCCCTCTCGTTTCCCCCTCTTTTCCTCTCGCTCCTCCCGCTCTCCCTCCGCCTCATCTCGCCTCCTAGAATCTCTCTTCTCCGTCGGTCTCCCCTCTCGTTCCTCGGAACCATCCTTGACTTCGCGCCCTTCCTTTCTCCTACGCCCTTCACCCTTCGGCTCCTTCAATACGTCTTTATCCTTTGACGACCTCACGTCGCCGTCGCGCCGCCGCCGCTTCTCGTGCCTCCGCCTGGCGCGCTCCTCGCTTTCGCTATCTGTGGCAATTACGTGCAGGACAGAAACGAATCCGGCGAAACCAAATATTGAAAGCACGTTGACTCACGAAAGCGTGGCGAAGCGCGAAGGATAGCGAGATGCGAGTGAAATTTACGCGCGTATCAACAAAACGGTCAACGAACACGGTCAATGAAGTCATATAATGACGCGACGCGCGCGGCACGAATCTCGCTGCGCGCCACAACTCGCAGCGCATCGCACCTTCGCTGGATTCGCCTGCAGAGTCGCGTCGCACGCGCTTATCCTTGTCTCTCGCCATTCTCCCAGGTTACTTTCAACTGACGAAGTTGTGGAGATTGGCAGCTCATACATCTACAGCTTCGCTCTGGCGCAATGCAAGGGAAAATCTAGGCGGAACTGGGTTCAAGTAGTGTGTATTTCCTGAGTGAGTTTATGTATGAATGGAAGCTAGGTGTATTTGAAACAATTGTTTGAGAATAACGAGATTTCTCTTACCTTAATTTCTACTCGTCCACCTCACCACTTGCAGGTTCCACGGCGCTGGCTCGCAAAAATTCGTTCAGGCTCTCGTGAGGAGAATCAACCTCCTGTAACCGCATTGGGCGAGGAATAATTCTTCGTAGCTTCGCGTCGCCACCGACACAAACCTGGCCAGACGGAATGTGCAGCATGGAGCCTGGGGTGGGGACCTGCAAGAAAAACGCCGACCAGGCGAGAAAAGCCAAACGCAACGAAAGGAGAACAGAGGATCATTGTAGTGAATAAGGTCAGGTCAGGAGATGAGAGGTGCAATCCTGCGATGCCTGTCACGCAACAAAGAAATGGAACCACCTCCTGCCGCAGCTGCTGCGGCTGCAACGTCGTCTGGTTCGGTCGGTATAACCTGGGGCCGGGCAATTCTTGAAACGTCAAGCATGATACGACTTGCAGAATTATCGGCCTCGCCTCGACGCCTCGCTCACCCGCAACACAAGCTTCCGTGCTTCCTTCCTTCCAGTTACTAGCTTGAATTTCGCGTAGGCACTAACGCGGCACATCTGTTCTCTGGTCTGCGGTTTCATTCACAGACGAAGTTCGTATCAGAAGCAACATAAATACCAGAAGTAACACATGTTCGTAATGCCCAGAAGCTTGACCGTTAAATCCGCACGTAGCAGCTAGTTTCGCGGTTCCATGGCGAACGCCACGTGGCAGAAGGCGGTTCTGATCTTCGCCCTGACGCTGACGCTTCGGTTGCGAGCCGGCCGGGCGTGGTTCCAACCCACCCCGGGTACCACCTTCTATTGGCAGCTCTCCAACTCTAACCCTAACGTCGACGGTGCGTGACGCTGTAACGCGGGCATAGTGTACCTCAGATCACGCCACGAATGAGAGGGTATAACAGGGTAACGTGTTTTGTTGAAAACGAGTCTGCATCGTATTGGGTCTTGTAGTTTCAAGTAGTCGCTCTGTAAACCCTAAACGGCGCGACCCTGACTTAGCATGATGTGCGCTTCCTCCTCGCTACATTAACGGGCAATCCAAACCGCCCCCCCCGCATCCCCTTTCTCCTCTTTCTGTGATCCAAGTGCGTGCCACGCTGCACAGATGAGCACAGCGTTACCCTACATGTCCCTTCCCCACCCCAGCCCTTCCCCCCTCTTCCTCTCCCCTTTCCCCTCTTTCCCCTCTCTACCACACGTTTCCTGCCTCGTCCTCCTTGCTTGTTCATTCCACAAAGCTACCTCGCAGAGAGGTGATTGGCATGACTTTTGAATCGACTCAAATTGCAAGCCACCTTGCTGAATCCCAACACCCCCCTTCCTCCCCCCCCCCCCCCCCTTCCCTCCCCCTCTAACGGTCCTTCTCATTGAATATAATAAACGGTACAGCAAGTGTAAGGCATGCATGGACTATTGAGACTAACCTATTGCAGCATGGGCTACGTGCTAGTGGTGGTGTGTAAGCATGTAAGTGGTGTGACATAAGTGGTGAGCTACCTAAGCGACTTTAAAAGCCTACCAAACAGCCTGTAGTAAGTACCCGTAGGTACTGGATTGACGTCTAGCAGGGGGTGGCTGGCCATATTGTGCGCCACGCCATGGGCTACGTGCTAGTGCCCTCCCCCTCTCCTCTCCCCCAGGCTCCAATGATATTACTGACCCCGCGGAGGTGTATGACGTGGACGGGTTCAGTCACAGTGTGCCGGCCTTATTGTGCAGCCCTCCTTGCTTCCCCGGCGTCTCCCCCAGGTTCAATCGACACCACTGACCCCGCGGAGGTGTATGACGTGGACGGGTTCAGTCACAGTGTGCCGGCCTTATTGTGCAGCCCTCCTTGCTTCCCCGGCTGCTTCCCCCAGGTTCAATCGATACCACTGACCCCGCAGAGGTGCATGACGTGAATTCTGATTCGACTCGAATCGCACATCACCTTGCTTAATCCCTCCCCCACCCCCAGGTTCAATCGACACCACTGACCCTGCGGAGGTGTATGACGTGGATGGCTTCAGTGTGCCGCCCAGCACGATCGCGGCGCTGAAGGCGGGCGGCAAGAAGGTGGTGTGCTACTTCAGCTTCGGCACCTTCGAAAGCTACCGCCCCGACTCTGACAGCTTTCCCAAGCGCGTCAAGAAGGGCCGAGTGTGTCAGGTGAGTGGGAGGCATGGGGGGCAGAGAGAGGGTGCGTGGCTATGGAGTGGGCACAAAATTACACCTGAAGGTTATTTGCAATGGCAGCTTGGGCATGTTCAAGAGCTATCGCCCTGATGTTGACAGCTTTCCCAAGCACATCAAGAAGGGGCGAGTGTACCTGGTGAGTGAGAGGCATGGGGGGCCGAGAGAGCTTGCATGGATTCTGAGTCGACTCAAACTAAACCTGTTGAAGGTGAGTTCTGTCACTGTTGAAATTAGTTGGTTTCGATCCGCAGCAAGCCTACTAAGAGTTTATGAATTATCTATAGAACTAATTCTACTAAGGCGAGGGAAATCGTAAGCAAGATCTTTAAGTCAGAACGCCAGACACATTAGGCCCGGATGTCGCGTGCGAACGCGTTTCGGCCAACTAAGGCCCGGATTCTGAGTCGATTCAATTTCAAACTAAACCGGAAGGTGGTGTGCATGTGCTACTTCAGCTTTGGCACGTTCGAATGCTATGCTAGCAGCTTCCCCAAGCGTGTCAAGAAGGGGCGAGTGTCCCTGGTGAGTGGCGAGTTTGCCTGGTGAGTGGCGAGTGTGCCTGGTGAGGGGCATGAACTTGAGGGGCAGAGAGGGGGTGCGTGGAGGTTTGCTTGTACAACCCCTACATTACTTGACACACCACTGGTTTTGAGGGGGGCAAACGCGGTTGGGTTGTGTTGGTTTGTGTTTAGTTGGGGGAGTTGACCTTTGAGTCAACTCAAACGTCAACCCTAAACCCCAACCCAACCCAACTGAACCGAATGCATCCCCCTCAGGACCGATGGTGCCGCAAGTGGTGGTCGGGGGAGAGATGGCTGGACGTGAAGGACCAGGTGGTGCACCAATTGACCTTCTTGACCAGGTGGTGCACCAATTGACCTTCTTGACCAGGTGGTGCACCAATTGACCTTCTTGACCAGGTGGTGCACCAATTGACCTTCTTGATCAGGTGGTGCACCAATTGACCTTCTTGACCAGGTGGTGCACCAATTGACCTTCTTGACCGGGTGGTGCACCAATTGACCTTCTTGACCAGGTGGTGCACCAATTGACCTTCTTGACCAGGTGATGCACCAATTGACCTTCTTGTCAAGATACTAAGCACCTAGGAAACTAGGTTTAGGCTTAGGATGCATAGTTAGGACTAGGAGCTAGGGTTTTAACCTAGGCAAGAGAGGGATGTGCAACAAGAAGTGTTTCAACTATAGAATGACTAAGTACAAATAGAGGAGAAGCATGCAAGGAGTGGTGCACCACCACACAGGACAATAATGGGACTACACTACAGCTAGAACTACATGCGCTTATACAGAACATATATCAAATATATTCTGACACACCCCCTAAGTGCATGCAGGAATAGCCATGTGCAGAACACCCCCTGAAGTGGTACACCCTGCAGGGCGCAGCAGAAGAAGAGGCGAAGTGAGGAGGAGGAGGAGGAACTGTGAGAGGAGAGGAGATAGGAGGCGGCGGCTGAAGCTGCAGACACACGGGCGACAGGAGCGGCTGGCACAGTGGCTACCGGGACAGCGCCCCGGACTACTGGAGTAACTGGCTCGGCAGCTACGAGGAGCGGCAAGAGAAACGGACCCACGGGCGACTGGCGCAGCAGGCTCGCTGGGCTACCGAGAGCACGAGGGCCCCGGACTACTGGCGCTGTTGGCGACACGACGGCTACCTCCGTTCAACTTCCCCCATTGCCCCACACCCCTTCTACAACACTAGCGCCACTCCCTCGGCTCCCCCACACTCCCTCGACTCCCCCCACAGCACCACTCCTTCGGCTCCCACACACCCACCCCCCTCAGCGGCAGCTGCAGCACTGGGAGACGGAGGAGGAGGAGTAAGGGACGACGCACACGGATCACCCCCACACCCGCCACCCCCACACCCTCCTGTCCAGGGGACGGGGGGGGGGGGGGGGGTAGAGCAGGACAGAGCGCGCGAGGGCGCGGGTAGAGCAGAGCGCACGAGAGCGCGGGCAGCAGCAGAGCACACGAGGGCGCGGGCAGAGCAGAGCGCACGAGGGCGCGGGTGAGACAGAGCGCACGAGGGCGCGGGCAGAGCAGAGCGCACGAGGGCGCGGGTGAGACAGGGCGGCTGCACAGGGTCCAGGAGCGGCGTCGCGGGCAGCTCCAGGGGCCAGGGGCGGCTGCTGCAGTGGCGGCTGCTCCAGGGGCCAGGGGCGGCTGCTGCAGTGGCGGCTGCCCCAGGGGCCAGGGGCGGCTGCTGCAGGGGCGGCTGCTCCAGGGGCCAGGGGCGGCTGCTGCAGTGGCGGCTGCCCCAGGGGCCAGGGGCGGCTGCTCCAGGGGCCAGGGGCGGCTGCTGCAGGGGCGGCTGCTCCAGGGGCCAGGTGCGGCTGCTGCAGGGGCGACGACGGGGGTGCAGCGCGCAGGCCCCCCGAGGGCGCCACGACGGGCGACGGGGGGGGCCGCGCGCGTGCCCCCTGAGGGCGCCGCGACAAGCGACGGGGGCAGCGCGCGGGCCCCCTGAAGGCGCCACGACGGGCGACGGGGGGGGGGCAGCGGGCGGGCCCCCTGAAGACGCCTCGACGGGCGACGGGGGGCCGCGCGCGTGCCCCCTGAGGGCGCCGCGACGGGCGACGGGGGGCAGCGCAAGGGCCCCCTGAAGGCGCCTCGACGGACGGTGAAACCGCCACGCGCCCCGAGCGCGCGGCGGGCAGAAAAGCCGCCACGCGCTCCGAGCGCGTGGCGGAAAGAAAATAACACGTCGCGCACCACGGGGCGCGCGACAGACAGAACGACAGCGGAAGCAGTTGGTGGGCCCGTTGAGGGAAGCGGCAGGAACGTGCTCGCTCTAGATACCATGTCAAGATACTAAGCACCTAGGAAACTAGGTTTAGGCTTAGGATGCATAGTTAGGACTAGGAGCTAGGGTTTTAACCTAGGCAAGAGAGGGATGTGCAACAAGAAGTGTTTCAACTATAGAATGACAAGTACAAATAGAGGAGAAGCATGCAAGGAGTGGTGCACCACCACACAGGACAATAATGGGACTACACTACAGCTAAAACTACATGCGCTTATACAGAACATATATCAAATATATTCTGACACTTCTTGACCAGGTGGTGCACCAATTGACCTTCTTGACCAGGTGGTGCACCAATTGACCTTCTTGACCAGGTGGTGCACCAATTGACCTTCTTGACCAGGTGGTGCACCAATTGACCTTCTTGACCAGGTGGTGCACCAATTGACCTTCTTGACCAGGTGGTGCACCAATTGACCTTCTTGACCAGGCGGTGCACCAATTGACCTTCTTGACCAGGTGGTACACCAATTGACCTTCTTGACCAGGTGGTGCACCAATTGACCTTCTTGACCAGGTGGTGCACCAATTGACCTTCTTGACCAGGTGGTGCACCAATTGACCTTCTTGACCAGGTGGTGCACCAATTGACCTTCTTGACCAGGTGGTGCACCAATTGACCTTCTTGACCAGGTGGTGCACCAATTGACCTTCTTGACCAGGTGGTGCACCAATTGACCTCTGACTTGACCCAAAAGTCAAATCCTACAATCCAAACAAACCCGACCCAACCCAACCACGTGTGTGCAACCAACCCCCTCAGGACCGGTGGTGCCGCAAGTGGTGGCCGGGAGAGCGGTGGCTGAACGTGAAGGACCCCGTGGTGAAGCAAATCATGGAGAAGCGCGTGCAGGTGACTGTAGTGGGATTTGGGTGAAGGTGAGTGTAGCGAGAAATGGGTTCAGGTGACTGTAGTGAGTAATGGGTGCAGGTAACTGTAGAAAGAAATGGGTGCACGTGACTGTAGCAAGAAGCGGGTGCAGGTGACTAAAGCGAGAAATGGGTGCAGATGACTGCTGCGAGAAACGGGTTCAGGTGACTGTAGCGAGAAAGGGATAGAATTAAAGGCAAATCGGAAGAATATGTTGAAGTGCGAGTGTAGGGCAATCATGGAGGGCTAAGTACTACTTGGTGTGATGTTGTGTGGTGTAGTTTAGTGTAGTGTAGTGTGGTGTGGTGCGGTGCGGTGTGGTGCAGTGTGGTGTAGTGTGTCCTTTATTCTCCACCTCTTCCTTCTTTATCTCTGCCTAAACCCTTTTGAAACGATTGAGAATAGCAACTGCTCCCTATGCGTCCATCACAATCGCCAGTCCTTACTCGTTTGAAACCTTGTCGCTGTCGCTTACGTCCCCACTCCTTACCCCCTTATCCCTCACACCTGTCTCTCTCTCCTTTCCAATCCGTACCTCCCACTGCAGTTGGCACGTTTTGATTCGACTGCAGCTAACGGCCAGCCAGGGGCATGCCTTGACGGTATTCAGCCAGTCAGACAGCATCGATGGTTGCAGCACCAACGGCCTGAACAATCCCTTCTTCACTGCCTGCTGCCCGTTACCAGTCTCCTGATCACATCTGCCAGCCAGCAACAAGTGTGAAGTCACAGCATTGAGGCGAGCAGCATCAGCGCCTACAACAGCAGCAACCGCCTCAACAGTGCTCCACTCCACAACCCTCACTGCCAGACTTGCTCTGAATCCCACCACCTTCCCTCATTCTGCCTTTCCTGGTCACAGCTAGTAGCGAGCAAGGGGTGGGATGGCATAGGGCCGGAAAACATCGGCGCCTTCAGCAGCAGCAGCCTCAAGAATCCCCCCCCTTCCCCTTTGCGCCCACTCCAACCCCACCCTCACCGCCTCTCCCCTCTTTGTGCCCACTGCCCGCAGCTAGCAGCGAGCAAGGGGTGTGACAGCATAGAGCCCAACAACATCGACGCCTACAGCAACCGCCTCAAGAGCCCCCTCCCCCTTCAACTCTTTTTTCTCTGAATCCCCGCCCCCTGGTCGCAGCTAGCAGCGAGCAAGGGGTGTGACGGCATCGAGCCAGACAACATCGACGCCTACAGCAACCGCCTCAACGTGTGGCTGCCGCCCTTCTCCAGGAGCGTGCGCATCAGCAAGAATGACCAGATTCGGTACAACGCGTGGATCGCAGACACCGTGCACAGGTGGGTGGGCAGCGTGTTGTGATGTGTGCTCAGCGCGCGTCTACTTGCATTGGATTGGAATGTGGCTGTTTAGAGGATCAGATCAGATACAACGCGTGGATCGCAGACACCGTGCACAGGTGGGTGGCGTGTGCTGTGATCCGAAGCTAGTACAGTGGAACCCTACTTCTGATAGTTACGGCACACAATTATATCGAGTACCACACTTGGGATTGCATGCAATCCGACTCTTGAATCACTGCTATTGTTGTCGCAGTTCAAAAGCAATTGATTTGCACGGCGTTGGCCCAAGTACCACAGTGCGTAGTAGTCAAGTGAGCAAGGATAAATGGGCTGGCATCCCAAGGCTAACGCGGCTCGGGGTGTTCCAGAGTCCGAAACTCTAAGCTAGAAAGAAATCAATCGGTGTAGCTACACCTAACATTTTCCAGGTGAACATGAAAAATATCCTGAACGATTTGAAAGTCTCCATTCGATAATTGGGCGCTGATGGCCAAGTTTGACTGGGCGCTGGTGGAGGAGAGGAGTGCAACGCGTTCAGTGACTGCCCTTTCCTTCCCTCCGCATGTGTCCCCCTTCTAATAGGCACGGCATGAGTGTGGGGCTCAAGAATGCGTTGACCATTGCAGGGGCGCTGGTTGGCAAGTACGACTGGGCGCTGGTGGAGGAGTGCAACGCGTTCAGTGACTGGAGTGGTGGGGAGTGGTACAAGGGCAAGTACGAGTGCGACTATGCGAATGTGTTTATCAAGGTGAGAGGATGGGGGGGGAAGAGGGGAAGCAGCCCCTTTCTTGAATGACTGGCCCAATTCCCTCAGTGACTGGAGCGGTGGGGAGTGGTACAAGGGCAAGCACGAGTGCGACTATGCGAATGTGTTTATCAAGGTGAGAGGAGAGAAAGGGGAGGGTTGGAGGAGGGATGGCGGGGGAGGGGAGTGCAGCGAGGGCGACGCGATTGCCAGCAGGGCGACGCGACAGACAGGGCAGGGCGACGCGACTAGTGGGGCAGCTCTATGTGGTGGGCCCAAACTGCTCTGAAACCATGTAAGAATCCTGAACGAGAATGAATGCATTGAACAGAAAATTGGTACAAGTACTAACCCTAATTGGGTTGTAACCCTCAAGGGCTACCCCCACTACAGCCTACACAACGTAAGCACTATAACATTTTGACAGAAACTGGGTGCAAGGGCAAATACGAGTGCGACTATGCCAACGTTAAGGGGAAGGAAGGGGGGAGGAATGGGGGAGGAATGGGGGAGGAATAGGGGAGGAATGGGGGAGGAATGGGGGAGGAATGGGGGAGGAATGGGGGAGGAATGGGGGAGGAATGGGGGAGGAATGGGGGAGGAATGGGGGAGGAATGGGGGAGGAATGGGGGAGGAATGGGGGAGGAATGGGGGAAGAGAGGAAGATTGGGGAACGCATCCACAGGGACCCACAGGGCCAGCACCAGTGCACACGTTTCCCGCTCCACCAGGGCCAGAAATGCCAACAGGGTTATCAAGGTGGGAAGGCGGTTGGGATTGCTCAACGTCATGCATCCAACCGCCCAGGCTTCTCTACCCCTGCTCTCTTGCTCGCCACACTGCCACTGTGCCCTTCTGAGTTGCCCGATTGCCCCATCCTTGCCCGGCCAACCAAGGCAGTGTTTGTGGCGGAGTGCACACCTCTTCGACCTTCTGGGTCTTCCCCTCCTCCCCCCACCCCCTTCTCCCCACCCTTTCTCCCCACTCCCCCTACTCCCCCCACCACACCCCCCCAACACCAGGCGAACAAGGCGGTGTTTGTGGCGTAGTACACATCAGCGCGGCCTTCTGGGCCCCCCTCCATCCACCCTCCCCCCTTTCACTCCCCCTCTCCTGCCCCTCGCCCCTTCCCCCATGGCAGGCGAACAAGGCGGTGTTTGTGGCAGAGTACACATCGGCATGGGGCACCACTGCAGGGCGGGCCAACAGCATTCAGTTCCCCCAGGTACGCCGTGCAGCTCCAGGCAGGCAGCGCTCACTCGAGCCAAGTGGCTTAGGGGAATGAAACAAACAACCAATGGATCAACCCCCTCATGGGACGTTGACTGGTGCTTGACTCTGTGCCCTACTGAGAGATGCGTCACAACCTGGGCCATCTTCGAGAGCGTGCTTGCAACGAGTTTGTCTTTTGGCAAATCGTGCCATTTGGAACTTCATGCTAAGGAAGTAACTTCTTTTTAGGCGCCTCAAAAATCGTCTTAGTTCGGGGATTTTATCTGGAGAGATTTTTAACTGCTTGGAAGTGTTCTCGTAACCTGCAAAGGTTACTTGTGCGTGCGCGGTTACCGAAATGACAGGTTTGTTGAAGACTTTCCCGAAGGCTGACTCTGCACCCTGGGTGTATCCCAATTGCTTAGTTGGCGATTGCTTGTGAGATGTAATCTGGGTAGTCGGTTAACAAACTGTAGATCTCGAGGGCAGTAGCTATTACTTAGCTATTTCTGTCCAGCTCTTCTCTCTTGTGTGGATCTGGAAAGCAGCACTGATGAAGGCTTAGGAAGAATGTTTGTTTCGATCCTTTCAGTTGCTTAAGCGTCACAACAGGTTCGCTGCTATTCCGCTAACGAGCTTGTCGTTTGGCAAATCGTGCCATTTGGAACGCAGTCAAGCGGGTGACTTGCAGCTCCTTTTCTGACAGGGCTGGAGTCCGAGAAACGTTTTTACATTGTGCCCGTGACGTGAGGCTTAACATCCACAACCCTGCCACCCCTTCCCCCAACCTCCCTCGGAAATCCTCCCTTCCCCCTACCCCTTTGCCCCCGCTTCATCTGCTTCCCCCTCCTCCCCCTATCCCCTCTGGTTGTGTTCCAATTTAGAATAAATTCTGGTCATGGCCTGTCACATCTCGTCCCATCTCCCTCTCTCCACCATCACATGCAATGTACCCAGCCTCTGCACGTGCCTGGGCTGACAAGACATGATTTTCCCCTCTTCATCTCTCTTTCCATCTATCGCACCCCTCCCCCCTCTCTCTCCCCACCTCTTCTCCTGTTCCTTGTGTGGCCCCCCTGATGCACACCCTTCCCCGCCCCCCTCCCCCTTCCTCTCCCTCCTTCCCTCCGTCCTCTTCGATCCTTCCCCCCCAACCCTTGTTCAGCGCATGTGTGCGGACAACAACTCGCACGGCTTCTGTACACGTTTGCACGATATCGACTTGAGCCCCACCAAGTTCCCCTGGGCGGACTGCCTGCAGCCCCCCTGACACACACGCTCCCCCTGCTTCCCTCTCCTCTCCCCCACCCCCTCCCTCTCTCAGCGCATGTGTGCAGACAACAACGCACATGGATTCTCTACGCGTCTCCACGACCTAGACCTGGGCCCCACCAAGTTCCCCTGGGCGGACTGCCTGCAGCACCAGCCAGCGGGGTGCGCTGCTGCTGCGTGGCAGGTTTGCATGCAGGCCGGTGTGTACGCCGGATTTAATCAGCGTGGGAAGGGAATGTCTGGTGCGGACCAAATAGGACAATGTGTGCGCAGTAAAATATCTAGTTGCACATATGAGTAATTGCTGATTATTTCTTCTCTCATGCAACGTTCCTTACATGGTATGGTGCAGCAGTATATTTGTTTATCTGTATATATGTACATATTTAAGCTGTACGGCACAAGGCAATGCGGTTTGACTGACTGGTTTGAGTGTTCCTGGCCTTTGATACCTGATGATCTACATTATAAATAAGATCAAAGAAAACTACAGAAGTAAGTGTCTCATAATCATAGAATACTTTCAATGAAAAACACTCTTGTTTTAGCAAATTATAGTTTCTACCTGTAGACGTAGTTTAGCGAGCACAGTCCGAATGTTTTGCGTCAGCTGGTTCGTCCTACAATCTCGCCCCGAATCACTTCCGAGCCGCCTCCGCACCTTTCGCCGCTTTCCGAGCCTCAAATGTCCCGAGGTCCTCGCCTAGCTCGACTTTGCCTACTTATACCTCGTTATTCTTCCATTCATTACTCTTCAGTAGTACATGAATATCTGTAGTTCTCTACCTTGAGTGCACCTCCGTTCGTTTGCGAAACCCGTCTACCCACATCACTCCTTCAGGTTACGCGGATACCTTCTTTCCTTCGTCGCTACTCTCGCTTGCCTGCTCCCTCTCCCTGACAAGTTCCACTTCAAACCTTCTCTTCAATCGTTCCTCTCGAAAAGATCACACATCAATACCTTCGTTCCTCAAATTCTCTACTAGTCTCCTGCTATACTTGCTGACCAGTTCGCCTCTTTCTCTCTCCCTGGGTCTCTCTCCTCGTCGCACCCGGTCTCCTGTTTTCCGCCCATCTCTCCCCTCTTCCCGCGTGGTAGCGCCCGCCGCAATGAGCGCGAGAGCCGCCATCACCGCACGCGCCGTCAATTCCGCCGCACCACGCGCAATGTCTGCCTCGCCCGCGCTCAGCGGCATGGGTTCGCGATGCACCGTGACCGCATCCGCGTGCTGCCGGCCGCGCCGCTGCCTCCCTGCCGCCCCTGCTCGCCGATCTCTGTCGCTTCGCGAAGCCGTCATCGTAGCCGTCCATCCGCACGAGAACGGACGGTCGATGCCGCTGGGAACAGGCCGAAGCGGCAAGGCAGCGCAATTCCCGGCGCGGATCGCGGGGATTACGGAGGCACATTGCCTAAGCACATCTGCCTCGAGTTACTCTCAAGCAGGAGCGTTGAGCGGTGGAGAACGGTGCAGGACGGTACGGGTGCGAGCAGAGAATACAGAGACGGGAGGGGGAAGCGGTGGAGGGGGAATGGGCGGCGGGGAAGGCGGAAAAGGAGGGGGAGGAGGAGGGGGAGGGGGAGGGGATGGCAATGGAGTCAATAAAAACTCGGTTTGGGGAATGTGAGTGTAATGTGCGGCATGTGAGGGCGGTATGAGTTTTTTACTAAATGTGACATGCGGGTTGGTGTGACATGGCATGCACACTCTACTAGACACTCGGCACGCATGGGGGCACAGCAAGCATGGGGCACACATGCTTGCTGCGCCCCATGCTTGCTGCGCCCCATGCTTGCTGCGCCCCATGCTTGCTGCGCCCCACGCTTGTCTCCTCATCACGTGCCCTCCTCCTCGTCCCCCTTGCACCCCCTCGCAACAACCTGCACCTGTTGGACTGCCACCTGCTGACGGTCAAGGCGGGCACGTTTCACGCTGCTCGCCCTCACCGCCCCTCTCCCCACGCCCCTCTCCCCACGCCCCTCTCCCCACGCCCCCCTCTGCATCCCCACGCAGCTACTTGCACTTACTGGACCGCCACCCGCTGGCAGTGAAGGCGGGCACGTCCATGCTGCTCAACCTGCTGGGCGACCTCTTCTGCCAGGTGCGTGCCTGTGGGGGGGAAGGGGGCATTGGGGGCACATCCCTTGTGCTCGTTATGCGCTCAAGGCGGTGAAGGCGGGCACGTCCATGCTGCTCAACCTGCTGGGCGACCTCTTCTGCCAGGTGCGTGCCTGTGGGGGGGAAGGGGGCATTGGGGGCACATCCCTTGTGCTCGTTATGCGCTCAAGGCGGTGAAGGCGGGCACGTCCATGCTGCTCAACCTGCTGGGCGACCTCTTCTGCCAGGTGCGTGCCTGTGGGGGGGAAGGGGGCATTGGGGGCACATCCCTTGTGCTCGTTATGCGCTCAAGGCGGTGAAGGCGGGCACGTCCATGCTGCTCAACCTGCTGGGCGACCTCTTCTGCCAGGTGCGTGCCTGTGGGGGGGAAGGGGGCATTGGGGGCACATCCCTTGTGCTCGTTATGCGCTCAAGGCGGTGAAGGCGGGCACGTCCATGCTGCTCAACCTGCTGGGCGACCTCTTCTGCCAGGTGAGAAGATGGGTGAGTGGCGGGGGAGGGTGCGACATTCAGAGGGGCTGTCTGTAGCAGTGCTTTGCTTTGCACTTGGCACTGCAGAACTCAAAATAGCACATTCTTATGTGTGGGTACCAGTCAGTGCTAGTCAATATGCTGGTCAATATGCTGGTCAATGCTGGTCAATGCTGGTCAATGCCAGCAATGTCAACCAATGCCTTATCGACTGTGGTGTTGCGGTGCTGCATATGGCACGATGTGTACAATGTGGCATGGTATGGCATTATGTGAGTGACATGGCATGTGTGTGTTTCTCTGGCGCCTGTGCACGGCATGCGTGTTTTCATGACAACGCATAGCACGGCATGCGTGTTTCTTGTCATGGCATGCGTGTTGTCACGTCATGGCATCCGTGTTGTCATGTCATGGCATGTGTGATGACATGACATGGCATGCATGACCCCATGGCAACTAACACAGCTGGTGGTGGAGGGAGGGCACGGGGTGGATGCGAGGAGAGCAGCCACCATCTCCCTGCTGGGGCTGCTGCTCGTGGGACCCACGCTACACGTCTGGTAACCATGCTGCACGTCTGGTAACCACGCTGCACGTCTGGTAACCACGCTGCACGTCTGGTAACCACGCTGCACGTCTGGTAACCACGCTGCACGTCTGGTAACCATGCTGCACGTCTGGTAACCACGCTGCACGTCTGGTAACCACGCTGCACGTCTGGTAACCACGCTGCACGTCTGGTAACCACGCTGCACGTCTGGTAACCATGCTGCACGTCTGGTAACCACGCTGCACGTCTGGTAACCACGCTGCACGTCTGGTAACCATGCTGCACGTCTGGTAACCACACTGCACGTCTGGTAATCACACTGCACGTCTGTTAACCACACTGCATGCCTGGTAACCACACTGCATGCCTGGTAACGACTCTGCTGCTCGCAATTTACCCTCGTTCCTCAGCTTCCTCTCTTGAGATTCGGCATCTGTTCCGTCTGTGTCCATGGCTGGTTCGAGTTGCCTCCATGCACCATGTTCCAAATGTGCCATCCCCTAAAAGCGCATGCTGCATCGAACCTCCTCCTCGCACCTTCCTTCCTTAGACATCCTCTTGTTGCATTTCCCGTTGCTTGGCATAATTTGGCACGGCATGTGATGGGATGGGATGGCATGCTGTGGTGTGGCACTGTCCCCTGCATGGCATGGCATGGCATGTCATGTCATGTCATGGTACGACATGGACAATGGCATGCAATGCAATGCACATGCAGGTACTCACTGCTGTTCCGCGTGGTCTCAGTGCAGGGCACTCCCGGCACTCTCATCCGCCTCGCTCTCGACCAGGTCACCCTTTTCCCCACGCCCATGCTACCTTGCGCCCATGCTACCTTGCGCCCATGCTACCTTGCGCCCATGCTACCTTGCGCCCATGCTACCTTGCGCCCATGCTACCTTGCGCCCATGCTACCTTGCGCCCATGCTACCTTGCGCCCATGCTACCTTGCGCCCATGCTACCTTGCGCCCATGCTACCTTGCGCCCATGCTACCTTGCGCCCATGCTACCTTGCGCCCATGCTACCTTGCGCCCATGCTACCTTGCGCCCATGCTACCTTGCGCCCATGCTACCTTGCGCCCATGCTACCTTGCGCCCATGCTACCTTGCGCCCATGCTCCCTTGCGCCCATGCTACCTTGCGCCCATGCTACCTTGCGCCCATGCTACCTTGCGCCCATGCTTCTCATCTCCCATGTGCATGCCTCTTCCCCCTGTCCACCGCTCATACATGTCCTCTTCCCTCGCTCTTCCTGTCACCACCTGTGAGACAGCTGCCCATGCCTCTTCCCAAGCCCTGCATCCCCCTCCCTCTCACCCCCCCACCAGCTCCTCTTCTCGCCACGTTTCATCGCCACCTTCTTTTCCAGCCTCCTCACCCTTTGTCGCTCTCCGCTTTCCTCTTCCCATTCCCCTTCTCTCCCCACACCCCCCCACCCCAACCAGCTCCTCTTCTCGCCGCTCTTCATCGCCACCTTCTTCTCCAGCCTCCTCACCCTTGAGGGCCGCCCATCCGCCATCCCTGACGTGCTCAAGCAGGTGAGAGCCTAGATCAATGCCCAAGGCAGTTTAAACTCGATGCTGGTGAGTGACGGAAGCAGGTGATTGGCGGAAGCAGGTGAGTGGCGGAAGCAGGTGATTGGCGGAAGCAGGTGAGTGGCGGAAGCAGGTGATTGGCGGAAGCAGGTGAGTGGCGGAAGCAGGTCTGTGCTCAAAGCAGAGCTGGCATATACTGCCTGTGCTTCCTGTGCTGAATGCGCTTTGCAGAAAGCTGTATCTTGGTTGTTCTCACCGTACCTGATGCCTTCGTTTTCCCTTAACCCCATGCAATTCCACCGAGAAATAAGCCAATTCAAGTTCCGACACGCCTCATTCTACCTGCCAGCTCTCTAAACCCCTGCAATACATCGCAGGAATACATTTGAGGCGCCTCAAAACCCGTCTCTCTTCCCGCAAGTTCTGAGACGGCCCTCTCTGCCTGCCATGCGACGCAAGAACTAGCCAGGGTGCTGCACACCTGGAGTCTGCTTTTACATGCCTAAGAGAAACGCTCACTCTGCCTGCCACCTTGGCTTTCCTTTACCCCGCACAGGAGTGGGCCAAGGCGGTGGTGGCCAACTGGAAGGTGTGGATTCCCTTTCAGTTCCTCAACTTCCGCTTCGTGCCGCTGCACCTTCAGGTGAGCACTTACCAAGGCAAATGCACTAGCCACCCTTTGCCACAGGGCAAATGCACTAGCCACCCTTTGCCACAGGGAAAATGCACTAGCGACTCTTTGCTACAGTACAGGGCAAATGCACTAGGCCCTGTTACCTATCAATTTCCACACTGGAAGCAGAATGGTGAATCAATTGCTCCTCCACCTGGTTATGTTATGGCTCGCAAGGCTAGTTAGCAATAAGTGTTCCATCCTACACCGGGGTAGTTCCTTGCATGCCGTATACGGCACAAATTGTTGCATAGCACAGGGTAGGACAGCCTTAGCGCAGGATGAAGTACATCCGTCTCCGCTTTTGGTTAATATGGTGGCTGTGTGCTGTGCTGCTTTGGTTGCATTGGATGTTGGCAGGTTGCTGCATCCAATGTGATCGCGCTGCTGTGGAATGTCTACCTCTCCTTTGCAAGCCATCGTGGTGTGAAGGAGATGTGAAGTGGACACTTATAGTGTCGCAGCTTCAGTGCTGCTGCGTCTTCAGAACGGTCCATGCACTGGGTGTTTGTGTCAAAAATGCATTGTACGATGTAGACATAGCGTTTTTTATATATATACGAGCAACTGGCACTTCCAAATTTACCTGAATACATGGTTGCGTATCTACCATGGTTGTCTGGAACTAGACAGTTTAAAATGGGCATTGATCCACAACAATAGAAATGGTTTGAAAGTATGAGATAAAATAACATTATTTTAAGTGTACCTCCGTGTAGAGTAAATTTTCACAGATACATCCGCTCAGCCCCAATACAACGGCTTAGTTGTGTCGTTTTGCTAGGCGAGGTGTCTGTTAGCGCGAATCATATTCTCGTCTATATTCAGTTCAGTATCCCTTGAGCACGTCGCACCTTGATGCCGACTTCATGTCGTCCAGCCCTGGCGGCCTTCGTGACCCTGGAAGCGCCCGTCAGAACGAAACGCGTTTTGCCGAGATCTAGCGAGCGCGCACACGAGTCACATCAAACTCGTCAATTCTCATCTCATCACGCTCCGTCCGACTCGGCCGCATCGCGTGATCTGAATCTGGAGTCTCCTAGTCTAGCAGCATAACCGACTAGCACCAGCTTTCACCGTAATGTATCCCGTTTCGTGATCTCGTATCACTTCGTTCATTTGTGAATGCCTGCGAGCCGTTTTCCCTGCGGCCATTGTACAATCCACAATTGCTGATCAGTCCCCCATCCCATCCCATCCCATCCCACCATCCCCACAATCCCATCCCCTATGTCAGCTGCAGCCCTGCCGAACCAGAAAACATTCGAGTCAAGCCGAACGTGGTGAAGGCGGTTGCAACGGCTTCGCCGTGGCTCTGTGCAACAACCAGCCAACCATCCCTCATCGTCCGGAGCCTCGGACAAAACTCTTTACAGTACACTCGTCATTGTCTATCGTGCTGTACTTTTCCGGCGTAAGGAAGGCAGGCACACTTGGCCCCTCCTTCTCTCCCGTGGAGTCCTTATCACTTGTTTCCGTGTCAGTTCACACCCTTCGCCTAAACACTCGTAGTAGTCGATTCTCTCTGTCCAGTCCTCTACTTGCCTCGTGTGGCTGTAACGATACGGCCACTCGAGCTTTTCGCCCCCTTCCTCTTGGCGTGACTCTATGTCGGCCCAAAGCCATCATCGCCTTAGCTCCTTATTCTCTGGAACAATCCAGTAAGTAGCGCAAGTGTGTGGATCTACGTTTTCCACAGAATTCTCTTAGAGCACACACGCAACACACCAGCAGCGTGCAGGCACATTGCTGATAGCATCTGCTCCATCTGCGGCACGTACTTACTACTAGAAGCAGAGTGCTACAGTAGCTCTCTCAAAGAGTCTGTCCGACACGATGGGGCATCCCGAATCTCATCCTCTCCTCTCTCCCTCACTGAACACCAACGCCGTAGCGCAGGCCTTACCTCAGAACCTAGAGCATTTCAGACTGGTCCGATGCGAATCCCCCTCCAAGCCCTCATCATCGTCGCCCGTCACCCGGCGGTTGCGGACCTTCGTCTCGCTCATCGTTCTGTCCGCCATCTTCCTCGTCGTCTTTCTTTTCAACTTCACCTTTATCGCGTCCAGCGTATCCCCGTTAGTGACTTACCTCGATAAAGCCACGGATTTGGAGGGCCCCGAGAAGGCCGGCGCGTCGTATTTAGGCAACGTGTTGGTGGAGTATAGTCGGAGGAAACAGCAGCCGCCGCAAGAGCCGGGGGAGCACCCACTAGCACAGCAGCAACAGCAACAGCAACAGCAGCCGCAGCGGCGGCCGTGGAGGAAGCCGCCTGGAAAGATCGCGTTCCTGTTCATGACACGTGGCCCGCTGCCGCTCGCCCCGCTGTGGGAGAAGTTCTTTAAGGTGCGGCGGGGGGTGGGCGCGCAGAGGTAGGTGCGCAGGGGTGGCGCACATGGGGCTGGCGGGTGGAGGGTTGGCGCGCGCGGGGTTGAGGGGTGCGGAGTTGGCGCCTGGACCCGAGGTATGGGCTGGAGTGTGTAATTTGTGCTGTCACTAGCACAGTTGCTCCGCTTGCTGAATCACCGTTGTCGTGCGGTGCAGAAATTAGGTGTGGCGGGAGTGCGCATACGAAGGTGCGCGGTGTGTGGGGTACGAGGCGTAGTGTGTGGGGTACGAGGCGTAGTGTGTGGGGTACGAGGCGTAGTGAGTGGCGGCGGGTAAAGGGCAAATTGCCACAGGCCTTACGAATCCGACAAGTATCAGTGCGACGCGTTCTAGCGCGACAGGATTCAGTGCACGAGAGAGCCAGAAACGCGACTGGGAGGAACCGTTGACCTGGCCGAATCCACGAGAAGCCGTCGATATGAGTTCCCTTAGCTTTCAATGATTCTGAAAAAGCGCACTTAGTTATGAAGTAAGCGTTGACGAGGAGTCCAGCCAGTCAAAAGGAAGCCGGCAGTAGCCCGAATTGCAGTTCCTTTAGAGGATTCTCAAAAATGACTCCAGTGTCTCCCGCGGCTCGGTTCCTATGCTCGTCCCCTCTAGCCAGTTGAGGTTTTGTTGGGTTCGGAGTGGTTACTATAACTCGGCAAACCATTCCAGCAATCATCAGCCGAGAACGTTTCATTTGACAACGACGCATCGTGCGTCGCAGCGAAGCTGGCGAGGACAGGACAAGCACGGAGATTACGGACGCGCGATAGTCGAGCTTTGAAAACGTCTCAAAGCTCGAGGCGCGTAATCAGAGAAGCGCGATAGCTAGTCCTTGAATTAAGTGATGCCCCCTAGGATGGCATGGGAATTCGTGCTGGTTAGGGCGTCAAGCCGACGCGTCAAGCCGACGCGTCAAGCCGACGCGTCAAGCCGACGCGTCGTGCCGACGCTTCAAGTCGTCCTGACACTCCCCTATCCAGTCCAGTCCCCGTCATTGCTGCTAAGTCGTCGCGTGGCGCGTCTGGAAGGGTCGCGGGAGTCACCATTGCTGATCCAGATTCCATGTGCGCTCTGAGTTGACTAAGTAGACGACTTTTGAGACGTCTCAAAAGGGGTCTGCTAGAGTCGCGGGAGTCGCCTTTGCTGATCCGGATTCCATCCATGTGTGCTCTGAGTCGACCCAACGCATCCGTAGGGTTGCTTCGCGTCAAGTAGCGCGAGTCGATCACGCCGCGTCGCTTCAGGTCGTCTTGGTCGAATGCAGGCAGTTGTCGAAAGCTCTCACAGAAATTGCCTGCAACAACAAGTATCCTAATTCCATCCTTCGTCGGGTTGCTTGCACGACCCGACGCATACGTCGGGTTGCTTCGCGTCAAGTCATCGCGGCCAATACAGGTCCAAACACGAGGTCTCGCGACACGTTTATCTGAGAATTCACACGGGACTTCCATTTTCCCACAGCGAATCTCGAGGGGGCTAGCAAGTATCGCGGCGGACCTCTCCCCACCTTCCTTTCCGCTCATCCGCTCCCACTCCCCCCCTCTCACCCCCCTCCTCCCCCACCCCCAGGGCCACGAGGGGCGCTACTCCATCTACATCCACGCAGCAGACCTCTCCTTCCGCTTCCCGCGCAACTTCTCCGCGCTCTTCCGCGACCGCATCATAAAAAGCGGCAAGGTGAGCGCTGAGCGAGCGACTGCAGCGGGCAACGCGGGCACTGCAGCGCGCGAGACGCCTCGTACGCTGTATTGGCTTCTTCATCGGTCCATATAGCTATTATTGCACGCGGAGATGCCTTTAGCGAGGTGCTTCGGTAGCGAGGTGCTTCGGAAATTCCCAAAAAAAAACGCATCCAGTGTATGCTGTGTACCACGTATGGCAGAATGTCCATGGTCGATGCAGAAATGTGGTACAATTCCACCGCACTGTGGTACATTTCTACCAAGCTGTAACCTTATATTTCCATTTTATTCTCCTTTTACGCCACGACCCGCAGGTGTCATGGGGCGAGATGTCAATGGTGGATGCGGAGAGGCGGCTGCTGGCGGCGGCTCTCAAGGAGCGAACCAACCACTACTTCGTGCTGCTATCCGAAGCGTGAGTGCTCACTGCTGCTCTGAGAGGTGTTAGCGCCGCTGAGGCGTGAGTGCTGAGACGTCTCAAAAGAAGGCGTGAGCCCTTCATATTGCACATCCCTTTTTCGTCTGCGCACCTTGTCACTTCTTGAGATTCCAACAAATCATGCATGCATGCTGCTGCTGCACACCACGCACATCAACCCCACCTCCACACATGCCTCTCCCCCCTTTCCATCCCCCCCAGGTGCATACCCCTGTGAGACTTCGACACCATAGCCACTCACATCATCTCCTCCTCCTCATTCCCTCCTCTTGCCGACACACATACCCCTCAACCCCCCTTCTCCCCGCTTTGCCCGCGCTCATGACCCCCACCTCCATTCCCCCAGGTGCATTCCCATGTGGGACTTGGGCACCATCGCCACCTACATCAACACCTCCTCCTTCGTTGCCCTTTTGCCGTCACCCGTGCCCATCAACCCCCTGTCTCACCCGTCGCTTCTTGCTCTCCATGCGTGTGGGCCCCTCCCCTCTCCCCCCCCATCCCCCCAGGTGCATACCGCTGTGGGATTTCGACACCATAGCCACCTACATCAACTCCACTGCCGTCTCCTTCGTTGACGCGTGAGTGGTGCTCGCGGGGCATGCAGCTGCGGCGTGGGGCGTGAGGCGTGGGATGCAGGGAGCGGGGAGCGGGGAGCGGGGAGCGGGGAGCGGGGAGCGGGGAGCGGGGAGCGGGGAGCGAGGAGCGGGGAGCGGGGAGCGGGGAGCGGGGAGCGGGGAGCGGGGAGCGGGACAGGCGGCAAGGGACAGATTGACAAGCTGCAGCAATTCGGCTCTCGTTTCCAACAAAGAAGCCATCGTGCTACCATGCACCCGCACCCCTCCACAATTCTCCATTCTTGAGACGTCTCAAAAGCCAGCAGCTCCATCAAAACAAAAAGCCATTGTGCTGCCATGCATACACCTCTCAACTATTCTCCACTCGGCCCCTCTCTATCCCACCCACCACCCCCCCACACCTCCGCCTCCGCACCCCATGCAGGTACCACGATCCGTACAACAAGGCGTTTGAGCGCTACCTGTGGCACATCTACTTTTGAGGCGCCTCAAACGTCGCTTCTCTAAAACCCCCCACCTCTTTCTCCCCCCCAAACTCCCCCATGCAGGTACCACGACCCGTACAACAAGGCGTTTGAGCGCTACCTGTGGCACATCTACATGCCCGTTATAAGACGACGGGACTTCGTTAAAGGCAACCAGGTGAGGGCTCGTTATAAGGCAGCCAGGTGAGGCCTCGTTATAAGGCAACCTGGTGGACTGATGTGCACTCCGTGGGGTGACACGTGAGTCACATGTGTGTGCTGTTTTCTCGTCAACAATCACCCCCCCACCCCCTTTCCCCCTCCCATGCATGCACGTGCTTCATTGTGGGCGGCAGTGGTTCGTCCTGTTCCCCCTCTCCCTTCCTCTCCCTTCATCCCCCCTCCCCCCAGTGGTTCATCCTGCAGCGGTGACATGCACAGATGGCGGTGTGCTGTGCTGTGCTGTGCTGTGCTGTGCTGTGCTGTGCTGTGCTGTGCTGTGCTCTGCTCTGCTCTGCTCTGCTCTGCTCTGCTCTGCTCTGCTCTGCTCTGCTCTTCTCTGCTGTGGTTCATCCGCCCCCTCCCCTTTCTCCTCCCATTCTCCCCCTCTCTGCTGTGGCGACGTGCACAGATGGTGGTGTGCGGTGCTGTGCGGTGAGGTGCAGTAATGCGCTGTGCTGTGGTTCATCTCCCCCCACACTCTCCCTCTTTATTCCCCCCTCCCAGTGGTTCATCCTGCAGCGGCGACATGCACAGATGGTGGTGTCAGATACGGAGCACTACGATGTGCACAACAGCACATGCGCTGTGAGTGATGCGCTGCTTTTTGTGGTCTGCTATAGTGTGGTGTGGTGCGGTGCAGTGTGGTGTGCTGTGGTGTGGTGGCGGACACAGAGCACTATGACGTGCACAACTGCACGTGCGCTGTGAGTGAGACCTTGCTGTCATGCGCTGTTATGGTGTGGTGTGGTTTGTTGCGGTGAGGTGTGGTGTGGGGTGGTGTGGGACACAGAGCATTACGATGTGCACAACCGCACATGCGCTGTGAGTGACGGCCCGCTGTTGTTTAATGCGCTGCTATGGTGTGTTTGGTGAGGTCTGGTGCGGTTCGGTGTGGTGCGGTGTGGTGTGGTGTGATGGCGGACTCGGGGCACTAAAAACTGCACAACCGCACATGCGCTGTGAGAGGCTGCTGCTGTGGGATGCTGTGTATTGTGGAGTTGTGTGTGTGGTGCTGTGCTGTGCTGTGCTGTGCTGTGCTGTGCTGTGCTGTGCTGTGCTGTGCTGTGCTGTGCTGTGCTGTGCTGTGCTGTGCAGTGCGGTGTGCACGCAATGCCATTCTCTTCTGTCCTCAAACTCTTGAACCCACATGCCAGTCATTACGTTTCTTTCCATATTCTCTTACCTACTCTCCTATCGCCTGGAATGCAATAGTTCCCACCCCTGCCCTGCCTTGCGCCCTCCACTTGCTTGCAGCTCCGAATGCAGTGGGGGCACTACTGCTGCGCCGATGAGCACTATATTCAAACGCTGCTCTTGAGGCGCTTCTAAGCCACTCCCTGCCCTGTCCTGCCTTGCCCACTCTGCCTGCTTGCAGTTCCGGATGCAGTGGGGGCGCTACTGCTGTGCTGATGAGCATTACATTCAAACGCTGCTGCATGTGAGTGTGACTGTATTGAAACACTGCTGCGTGTGAGTGTGACTGTATTGAAACACTGCTGCGTGTGATTGTGACTGTATTGAAACGCTGCTGCGTGTGAGTGTGACTGTATGGAAACGCTGCTGCGTGTGAGTGTGACTATATTTAAACGCTGCTGCATTTGAGTGACTTTATTCAGGCGCCGCTGCGTGTGAGTGTGACTGTATTCAGAGCCTGCTGCTTGTGAGCGTGACTATTTCTCCTTCCCCTTGGCCCAGCGCCCCTTACACTACCCATCTCTCTCCCTCCTGCCCCGTGTGCCCCTCATACTACCCGTGTCCCCTCCCCTTGTGCCTTGCCGATTGTGTCCCCCCCCCTACACACGGAACGCCAGAAGGACAGGTCGCACACGACCCCACCACCTTCACGGACTCGCGGCTGAATGCTTGCCCCTCTGCTGCTGTTGCCCCCCCCTGTTCTCTTCTCTTCCCCCCTTGCTTCCAGACAAAGGACCGGCGAGGCATATCTCACTACCCCACCACCTTCACGGATTGGCGGATGAACCAGTACCACCCCATGCTGTACCGCCGCCAAAACATCACCGCCAATATGCTGAAATACATGAAGGTATGGTGTATTACGTAAAACTATTTTATATATATTTTTATATATTGTTTAATTCGTGGTAAATCATTAACAAGTGAATCCTACTTGCTGGCATGATGCACCCACACCGCCACTGCACAAAACCAATTATGTAGGGCAGTCATGTCATCCAGCTATTTCTAATAGTGCCCACAATGTTCCTCACCTCTCACACCTCTCTCCACTGCATTGCCCCCTCCACTGCATTGCCCCATCCACTGCATTGCCCCATCCACTGCATTGCCCCATCCACTGCATTGCCCCATCCACTGCATTGCCCCATCCACTGCATTGCCCCATCCACTGCATTGTCCCCTACACACTCTCTCTCCATGCATCGACAGCCACCCGTGTTCTTTCTCCCCCACATGCCTGCAGAAATGTGTCCACGTCTTGTGCTTTTGAGATTTCTCAAACGTGCCTCCCATGTGCCCACCTTCCCTACCTGCTGTAAAAATATCCACATCTCGTGCTTGCAAGGGCAGAGCCTCGCTGCTGCTTCCTCCACGCGCCTTGGTTTCTCAACCCGTTATGGTTTCTCCCCTCTCCCTCTTCCCCGCAATCCCCCCCCCCTCGCTCGCATCGCATGCTGCATCCCCACTGCCCGGGACAGACAACACAGCAATACATTCAGTTTCGGTCCTTCTGGCGGGAATTCAAGAGCAACTACACTTACGTGAGTTGCATTTCGGTACACTTGAGCGAGGAGCAGATGCATTTGTGCACAGGGCGTCTCTGCTTGCATTTACGTGCTGTCAGCGCCTCATCGCACCATCTTGCCCTTTTATTGCATGCCACGTAGTTTGTGGAGATGCATTCGCTTTTATGATTTAAAAAAAGCAGTTGTTGACAAATATTTCTTTCACTTCTAATTTCTTGCAGATATTTAACACCTCAGCACCACAACCCCCGAAGGTGAGATTGCTATTCAAATATACAGCTGCACATGTTTGTCGTTGGATGCAAGGTGGTTCTTTGATAAGCCTCGTAACATGCACCACTTAACGCACCCCCTTTTTCCCCTCCCCAATAATCTGCACGGCAGACGGTTCAAAATGGATATTGTGCTCTAAAAGGGAAGCCACGCAACTGCTTCTTGTTTGCACGGAAGTTTCATGTCTCTTCGCTTAGTTTTCTACTAAAAAAATCCGAAGAACTATTAGGGTACTAGTTTGGTGTGGTACATTTCCTATGTATTTTTTTCGACATGGGTTGATGTCACAGAATGAATTGATGTATATTATCTGAATGCTGCTCGGCTTGTAGTTGAAGCTTTCAGTATATACCCATGGTGGTTCCTTCTATTTTACAGTACTACGAAACTCCTAATCTACCATCCGTGGCTTCGCGACGACCAATAAGGGATCCTTTCGCATCAGCTAGCTGTCTCGTGCTCTCCAGCGTGCGGAACTCTGACACACTATGATGCTTGTCTGGGATTGGTGTACGATGGCTTCGCGACAGTGATTGACGAAATTGGCTAGCAAGCAACCCCCGCCTGCACCATTCCGTTCTGTCCCCCTCCATCTTCCGCTCAACGACAACCACAACCGCGCAGCCTCGCATTTTCCTCCCTCCCCTCGCGCGCGACCACCACTCTGCCCCGCTTACTCCCCCTCCACTTCCCCCTTTCCTCTTCTTTTCCCCTCCTCACCACTCTCCGCGCTTTCTCCACCCCCACCGACCGAACCTTCTTCTTCCGCGCTTTCCGCTTCGTTCTCCGCAGCCTGCCACCATTCAGAACCCCGATCCGACTCTGAATCAGATGCGTCTCGGTCTCGGCTCATCAGCCTGCCTGCTCCACCGTCACCCCCACCACCACCACCGCCACAACACAAACACCCAACTTACACAAATCTTCCAGCCGACTGACACTCTCCTCCCCCGTATTGCTTCGCCTGCCTGCCTGTTATCCCTCCTGCGACGCGCGCAGAGAAATGAGGCGTTGCAAATGCCACCCCGCGCAGAATTCCGCCTCGCCTCCTCCGCTAACGCCACTCGTATCCCGCTGACGCCGCCTCGTCAATCTCTCGACTCCTCCGCCTCCACCTCCTCCGCCTCCTCCGCCACCGGAGGAGAATATCTCACCAGCTGCCACGACGACCGCCGAGTCGCATCCTGCAGCGTTAAATTTAACGACTTACGTTCTGAGCTGAGCGAGTCATTATGTCGCATGACGAACCGCAAAGCAACGATCATAATCTGCCATACGATCACGAAGCGGCGGACGAAGGAATGCTAGCCACCCGCACCCCCTCCGCCGCCGCCGCCGCCGATGGCGCTGACACTCCAATTCCCGTGACGCGGCGCGAGGAGTGGGGGTGGTACCTGTACGACGCGGCGGTGTCCGCGTTTTACTCGGTGGCGCTGCCCGTGTTCTTCCCGCTGCTCCTCAACCAGCTCGCCGCCGACGCCGCGTGGCAGCAGGCGGGGCAGCCGCGCCCGCCCGACTGCGGCGTCCACGGCGTCGCCGTGAATTGCGCGCAGTGCGTGCCGGGCGAGGGAATGCAGTTGCTGACGTCATCTGGGTAGGTGAGAGAATGAACGCGCGGCGATGGGCGGAGGCGGAGACTCGGAGGGGGGGGTAACTGGCGGGGACGAGGGAGGATCATCCCCATCATGGGGGAAGGTGGAAGGGTGGGATGGGTGAGTGGCTGAGCGTGATTGTAAGTTGCGGGGGAGCAGCGTGTGGAGAATTTGGAGACGCGGTGCGAGCATTTGGAGTTTCTCAAGTGATCGCAGAGGCGCTTCCCTTTCGTCCCCACATCCCGCACTCCCCTCCCCCATCCCTCGCCTCTCCCCCTTCCCTCGCCCGCACTCCCCTCCCCATCCCGCACCCCCGTCCCCCACCCCTCGCCTCTCCTCATTAGCCCTGCACTCCCATCCGCATCCATCTCCACACTACCCTTCCCCTTCACTCTTCTCTCAATCAACCCTCCTTTCCCCCTTTTCTCCCCCTTCCCCCCCACACCCCTCCTGTCCTCCACCTTCCTTTCCCCCATCAGTCTCCCCTTTTCCCCCCAGCTACTCGCCACTGCCGAATCCCAAGGTGCAGATGGGGGCGGCGAGCATGGATCCAGTGGCATTCGCTACAGTCACACTGGGGCTGTCCGTGGTGTGCCAGGTGGCGGCATTCATCACCCTCGGGCCCCTCGCTGACTATGGCATGGGGCGCATGCGGGTGAGTTGGGGGGGTAGGTGGGGGGGTAGGTGGGGGGGTAGGTGGGTGGGTGGGCGCATGCGAGTGGGCGTGGGAGCATGCGGCTGCGGCTGGGAGGAGGAGGGTGGAGGATGCGGATGCGGGTGTGCCAGGTGGCGGCATTCATCCCCCTCGGGCCCCTCGCTGACTATGGCATGGGGCGCATGCGGGTGGGTGGGCTGATGGGGCGCATGCAGGTGGGTGGGGATGTGGGATGGGGTAGGATGGGAGGGAGGGCCTAGGAGGACGAGTGGGGGATGGGGATAAGCATTCTGTAACCCTTCTTGAAGCGGTGTTGCATCAAGAGGATGACGATAGCCCTCGCAATGTGATGAGTCGTTGCATGGTAGTGGGCGAGGGACGAGGAGGGGTTGAAGGTGCGGAGATGGGGGGCAGCAAGGTGATGTGCCCGTCATAGCTGCATCTATGATGGGCATGTGCTGGACCCGTGGTCTGGATGACATGTGCATGCCATGCCATGCCATGCTACGTCACTGCCATGCCACGCCCTGCCATGCCTTGCTCCTCTGTGCCCACCTCTCCCCATCCCACCTCTCCCCATCCCACCTCTCCCCATCCCACCTCTCCCCATCCCACCTCTCCCCATCCCAGTGGACTTCTCCCCCACGCTCAAATCCTGCAGGGCGGCACAGCAGGACATCAGCCTGTCTCGGCCCATACTTCCCCATGCAGCACAGCAGGCCGCACCCATCTAAGAACTGTCATACTAACGCCTCTCTGTGCCTCTCCATCTCTCTCCTGATCCTTCTCCCTCCGCATCACCCCCCCCACCACTCGCAGCTGTTGCAGGGCGACACAGCAGGGAGCATCACAGCCAGAGCACTGTTTGAAGCGCTTCAGAAAATCATGCGCCTCATTATTTTTGTGCCTCAGAAATGAAGGGCCTAAGTGTCACTCTCGCCCCCTCGCAGCTGCTGCAGGGTGCCACAGCCTGCGCTCAATGCATGCCTGTTAAGTTGACTCATTCAACGCACCCCCCTTCACCCTCCCTCCCCCCTTCCAGCTCCTACAGGGAGGCACAGCCATGGGCATAACAGCGTGTGCGCTCTGCATGGCGCTCGTCTCGCCGTCCCTCTGGTGGCTGTCAGGGCTGCTGCTCATCATTGCCAATGTCGGCTACGGCCTCGCCATCGTTGCTTACTACAGGTGCGTGTCCTCTTCATTATATCGTCGCATACTACAGCTCTGTCCTATGCATCGTTGACTACAACGGGTGTGGCCGGTGCACGCAGTGTTGCCTGCTCTCCCCGTCCCTCTGGTGGCTGTCAGGGCTGCTGCTCATCATTGCCAATGTCGGCTACGGCCTCACTATCGTTGCTTACTACAGGTCTGACCCCTGCACACTGCACAGGCTCTCACAGGTGTCACCTGTGCTCACAGTGTCGACTCACACTGCCCTCCTCACACTGCCCTCCTCACACTTCTTCCCTCACATTCACCACTCACCCCATGCACAATCTGTGTCCTTGCTCCCGCTCCCGCCTGCCATGTGCTGCCGCTCCCTCCGTGCCTGGTGGTGGTGGTGGCTACAGGCAACCTTAAAACCAACTCAAATAACATATACCAGATGGCTCACTCAACCCGTCCCTTCTCCTCCCCACCCCCCCCTTGTCCTCCACCTCCCCATCCCCCCCTCACCCCTCACCAGCTATCTGCCTGTGCTGGTGGACGCGGCCCCTCCGGTGCTGCTTGCAGCGCAGCTCGCAGCACAGCTCGCAGGGAACGCCGAAGCAGAGCTGCCACGTGCTGCCTCTGCTGCCGCCAGTGTGCCTGGTGGTGCTGATGCGCTGGAAGCAACCTTTGCGTCTACTGAAAAGACCCGTCCAGGGCTGGCAGGGAGCGCTGCTGCTAGTTTGCGTGGTGCGATGGAGGCAGGGGTTGGGGCAGAGAGTAAAGGAGAGAAAGCAGCAGCAGAGGGGGTTGGAGAGGGAGAGCAGGCATTGGCGGTAGCAGAGCCGCACACACATGCCGGCGTGCAGGGCAGTCCCGAGGCATTCATTGCTGTGGACTCGTGCGCAAGAGACTCGTGTCCACAGGACTCGTGTGGGGGGGATAAAGTGGACCTGTACACACCGCTTCTCGTCGCCAGAGACCAGGTGTGACCACTCGATGCTCCTATTTTTTAGTCGACTCAAAAATGATCTCCACGAAGGAATTCCTCACGACCCAACCCAGAAGAGCCATGAGGCTATTTTGAGTCGACTCCGAAATAGTTTCGTGGGCAGAGACCAGGTGACCACTCGATGCTGCTTCCTGAAGTGTGCGAGAGACCTATGTGTGCGCAGCCGGGTGGCATGAATTGGATTTATAGCTCACGCCTGGTGCCCATGTTAGTGCAGCTCACTTCGCCCCTTCCCTCCACTAGCATGCGAGCAGGGCAGGAGGGAAGAGCGCGTGGAGGGCAACGTGCTCGTGCAGCTCGCTAAGCACTCTCCTTCCACCATCAACTGCTCACATGCGATTCTCTTTCAGCCCGTTCCCTCCTGCTATTCCCCCGTTCCCCTCTCCCTGTTCCCTCCTCCTTCTCCCCTCCTTCCCACCCACAGGAGGAGAATCGCATGTCAGGGTGCCCTGTGCCAGCATCGCCTCCATCCTCGCCACGCTCCTCTCAATCCACCAGCCCCCATGCTCTCTCCTCCCATGCTCCGCCCCCTCCTCCCCTCTCCCCCTCTCCTCTTCTCAGGAGGAGAATCGCATGTCACTGCCAGGAGTGGCCTGTGCCAGCATCGCATCCATCCTCGCAACGCTCCTCTCACCCTGCCATTCCTATGCTCCCCTCATCTTGCCCCCCACCACTACCTTCCCCCCTCCTGCCAGGAGGATAATCGCATGTCACTAACAGGGGTGGCGTGTGCCAGCATCGCCTCCATCCTCGCCACGCTCCTCTCCTTCGCCGCCACCCTCCCCGTCTCCTCCGACTCCCTCAAGCTGCGCCTCGCCCTGCTCGCCTGCGCCCTCTGGTGGCTCCTCCTCTCCCTCCCCACCTTCCTCTGGCTCCGCCCCCGCCCCGGCCCGCCCTTCCCCCCTCCACCCCCCCTCCCCTCCTCCTCCTCCGCCCACCCATGCCACCACCTCACCGCACGCCTCGTCTCCGCCCTCTCCTCCGCCTTCTCCGGTTGGCGCCACATGGGCCGACTCTTCTCCGAAGCCCGCCGCTACCGCTCTGCCTTTGCCTTCCTGCTCTGCTACTTCGTCTACGCGGACGGCTACACCACCATACTCCAAATCGGAGTCCTCTTCGGAGAGAGAGACCTCTGCGTGCCCACGGAGACCCTCATCTTCCTCGCCATCTGCGTGTCCGTCACCGCAACGCTCTGCACGCCGCTGCTCTTCTATCTCCAGCGCTGGATGCACCCCGTGCTCACCAACAAGGCCATGGTCATGCTCATGCTCGCCGGCATGCTGCCGCTGCCGCTCTGGGGGTTACTGGGTTACCTCACGTCGCCGCAGTCCATAGGGCTGAAGGCTCCTTGGGAGCTGTTTGTGTTTGCGTGCTGGTTTGGGTTTTTTCTGGGCGGGCTGAACGCGTACTCGAAGACGCTGTTTATTGATATGATCCCGGTCGGGCGCGAGGCGGCGTTTTTTTCGCTCTACTCTGTGAGCGACAAGGACTCGTCGTGGCTCGGCCCGTTCATCGTCGCCATCATCGTGCAGTTGGGTCTGCTTGTCCTCCTCCGCTTCCTCCACTTCCCCCGACTTCTCCTTTCTCTTTTCTTCCCACTTCTCCACCTCTTCGTATGCATGCCTTGCCCTGCTGTGCCCACATGGCACCCTCATTGCATCACACCACACCTAACCAGACAAGCCAACTCGCATTCACACCACATACAAACATCAATTGTCTCATTACAATCACATTCAACTGCCTCCCTGCCTTGCTATGCCATTGCAGATTACGGGTGAGCTCCGCCCCAGCTTCCTCTACGTGTTCCTCGTCATCCTCATTCCCCTAGTCTGTCTGCACTTCTTTGTCGACCACCAGCAAGGCATTGTGGATGCCGGTAGGGCCGCACACCAACTGCACCAGGTGGCAAACTATGACGATCAATGAATGAACAATGGAATATTTGATTCTAATTACGAGGAAATCTGAACGTTCATCACGCAAAAACAGAGAATTGTGATTAGGTCACAGCTCACCAAAAGAGGAGACGGTGCAGTGAACCTGAGAATCAATTCAGCACTGAAGGACTTCGTGCCTAGTCACGATGGTCAACTTTCAATGGAAATGTCGTTTTTTTACCAGTATGTAGGTTTTAAACGAGGATAAACACAAGCGCTTTATAATTTCGACTCGCAAACCTACTCAGCCGCTCTAATATCAAAACCGTCCTAAAGATATCACTTTCTTGTCGGTGAATGTACGGTGGGTGAGGTGGCACGGCGCCCAGGCGACGCATCGTGTAGTGTCAGAAATGTATCGCGAGCCACGTGGGACAATTGTAGCCGTTTCTTTCGTGACACTCGAGGTCGAGGGCGCAAACGGGTGGTCAGATTAGCGAGAGGTTACTCGATTACAAGTGACGAAGTCATCCGTGGGACCGAATTCGCTGGTGTAGGAGAAATAGCTTCAGGAATTCCTGGTCCGCAAGTTCTGGCTTGAATTGCAGTTTCAACAAGACGCACCCCGCTCGTCGTGTCGCCTGACAACCAATTTTAGCGGTTGTGAATAAGCGTAGTACTGTACGCGAAACACAGTGATTCATAAACTCGCCTTCCATGTCGCCCTCTGTCGCTTCCGTGCTGCCAGAGCGACTCGCCATGCCGGCCGCCGTTTCAGCCGCTACCTGCGCCCCTGCGGCAACTTCAAGGCGGCTAGCCACTGCACCGAGCATCGTTTCGTGCCGCCACCGCCCCGCACTGCGCCGCCAGAACTCGCTGCAGCGAGCGATCGGGCACTCCGCACGATCAGCTGGTTCCAAACCGTCGCCTGCGACGCCGGCGACGTCGACCAGGGCGAGCAGCTCTGCCGCGTCGCCGTCGCCACCGTCGTCGTCGTCGCCCGCTGTGACGCGGCCGAGTCGCACGCCGCACAGCGGATACCACTACGCGCCGAGCAGCGGCACCACCGGCGGCGCTGATCAGCCATTCTTCGAGGGATGGTACTTCAAGGTCTCGCTTCCCGACTCGCGCGACTCCTTCGCCTGGATGTACTCCGTTGAAAATCCCTCCGCTCCGCCCCCCGCAGTCCCATCCGCGGCTTCCCCCGGAGCGCCATCCGCTTCCCCCGCCGGCGCGCAGGCGGAGCGCGCGAAGGGGGGGCTGCCGTGCGTGATGATGCAGGCGATGGGGCCGGCGGTGGACAGGCAGGCGGAGTGGGGGCGCGGTGACGCGGGCGCGGAGGGCGGGGGAGATGCGAGGGACTACTTGTATCAGCAAACGGCGGACACGGGACGATTTTGGGGAGGTGAGATCGGGCGAAAAGGGTAGGCTGGAAAGGGACGGTCTTGATCGTCCCCCCCTTCCTCTCCCTGCCTAGGTATTCTTCTTGTTCCCTGGCGCCTCGTCTCCTACTGCCCCCGAGAACCTAGCCTAGTCCTCTCCTCGCGTAACCTTTTCTGAGCCCCATCATTCCCTATTCTCTCTCATCTCATGTCAATGCCCCATCCCCTTCTCCTTGTTCCTTTCTTTCCTCCGGCTCCATCCACCCCCCGTCCTCCCCCCACCCTGTCCCTTCCAGCGCGCCACGAGTTGGCACTGGGGGCATGTTTCCAGCCCAGGGAGGGGCAGGTGTCGCCCCTGGGGGAGGTGCCGCCTCAGGTGGGTGGTGCTGGCAGCAGGGGATGGGCGATCGGTAGGCTGAGTTAATACACTCTATATTTATTTATGCACATTGTATATACCACATGTGTGCACCCCGTCTTCATGCCACATATGATGACACATATGTATACCGCATCTATATGCCATGTATTTATAATAACACATCTACGTGCCACATTTAGGTAACACCCCTATGCGACATATATGTGTACTAAACATACGTAACACATCGTTGTACCATGTATATGCCACATATGCTGCATCCCATATGCCACATCCCATATGCGGCATTTATATGCACATTTGTATACACATCTATGCGCATGCCTTTCCTTTTCTTGTGACTGTGAGCAACAGGAGTTTGAGGCACGGGTGCAGTATGGATTCCAGGTGACGCCCTTCCTGCACCAGGGCACGCTCAAGAACCAAGATGATGGCAGGTGATGGTGGTGGTGGTGGTGGTGGTGGTGATGGTGGTGGTGATAGTGATGGTGGTGATGGTGATGATGGTGGTGATAGTGATGGTGGTGATGGTGATGATGGTGGTGATGGTGATGATGGTGGTGATGGTGATGATGGTGGTGATGGTGATGATGGTGATGATGGTGGTGATGGTGATGATGGTGGTGATGGTGATGGTGATGGTGATGGTGGTGGTGATGGTGATGGTGATGGTGATGGTGATGGTGATGGTGATGGTGATGGTGATGGTGGTGAGGATGGTGATGGTGATGGTGAAGGTGATGGTGGTGAGGATGGTGACGGTGATGGTAGTGGCCCCCATCCCATCCATCCCCTATTCTGTTTTTTTACACCCCATCTCATCACCCCCTCACTTTTAAAGCGCCACTGATCGTCCACCCTCTCCCCACCCACCCAACCCTTATCCACCCCCCATCCACGTCCAATCCACCCGCTATCCACCCTCTATCCCGAGCAGCATGGTGAGGTGGCGCTACGAGGTCACGCCAATCGATGGCTGGGGGCCCAGGGGCGGCACACAGCTGTCAACCGCTGGTTGGCTCTCTGCCCTGCCGGCTTTTGAACCGCACTGGCAGGTGAGAGCAACTGCAGGTGGGAAGCGAGTCAGGCGAGATTCTCAAGTGTGTTTTCAGTTGACAAAAAAAAGACTGCAGTTTCAGATGTTGCTGAGAAGCAGCTGACGTGGCGGCAGATGGGCTGTCAGTTACCTTGTGATCACACACGCCACATACCTCCTCGTTATCCCCCAACGCCCCTCCTCCTCCTCCCTGAATCACTCCGCCCTCTTCCTTAGGTGTGCATGGCCGTGGGCGAGCCGGGGGGTGGTGCGCGGTGATGGGGGGTGACGAATGAGCTCCTCTGGGTTAACTATAACAATCCTAGAAGATGACTCAGAAGGCACCAGAGATCTCACTTCCGAGCGTAGTGGCGGGGGCACCGCTTTGGTGTCTCTCTGGTTCTGTTGAAAATTCCCAAAAGTGACTCCCTCACCCCCACATCATCAAACCCTGACGTCACCTCACCCTCCCCCCATGGAAACCCGCCTCCTTCTCCCCTTCCAGGTGTGCATGGCAATGGGGCGAGCCAAGGGGTGGGTGGAGTGGCAGGGGCACCGCATGGAATTCACAGACGCCATCACCTATTCTGAGAAGAACTGGGGGGGCGCATTCCCACTCAAGTGGTTCTGGGTACGTCAGCATGCATTAGGGGGGTCTGCCGAGATGCTTCTGGGATTCCCCTTTACATAACACCCGAAATTTCGAGTGCTTATGGAAACTGCGGAGTTTCTATGAAGATTGCCGGGATGCTTTTCAAAACTGCGCGAGGAAGAAGATTGGTGAGCAAAGGTTGGGTTTCTTCAACATATTCTGTTAACCCAATCTTATTAGTCAGACCAACAAGTTGAGGCTTGCCCGTCAGATTCGCGAGGCTTCTCGAGAAGGGGGGCATTAATGGTTGGGTTGACCACCAACGGTGGCCCTCCAACAATTGCGGTCAATAGGTTCGGCGACTCCATGTAGGTTTGGCGACACCAACGTGACTTTAGGTATCTCCCAAATTAGAGTTTTGAGACGCCTTAAAAGTCACGTTGGGATCTCCCAAATTAGAGTGTAAGCCCAGCATGTGAGTGTTGAGCATGCAAGTGTAGCCTGTATCGATGCTGTTATTTAACACCAGCATGCCACCAGATCCAGTGTGGCGTGTTCTCCCGAACTTCCCCCACCCTCCTCGCCTTCCGCATATCCACTGCAACATCTCCTCCCCCACCATATCCCTCTCTCTCCCCACCTTTCCACCCCCCTCCAGACCCGGTGCAACGTGCGGTCACACGTGTCGCTGGGGTGCGCAGTGACTTTTGAGTCAACTCACAACTCATATCTTTACCTCCTCTTCTCCCCTCTCTCCCCCCCAGATCCAGTGCAACGTGTGGTCGCACGTGTCACTGGGGTCCGCAGTGGCGCTGACAGTGGCAGGGGCGAAGCGGCAGCTCAACCTGCCTCTGCTCGCCAACTCCATAGAGGAAGTGGGCATGGTGAGCTGGAGGACGCATGGTGAGCTGGAGGACGCATGGTGAGACGCGGGGGTATGTGGGCCGATTTTGAGTCGACCATAAAAAAGCAGAGGGTGGTATGGTAGGGGCGAAGTGGCAACTCAACCTGCCTCTGCTCGCCAACTCCACAGAGGAAGTGGGCATGGTGAGATTGATGTGGTGTGGTGAGATGAAGGAGGGCATGCTGAGATCGTTCATTTGATGCTTCACTTCCACCTACAATCTAATCTGTGAGGTAGTGTCCCTCCCTCCCTTTTCTCCACGCTCTCCTCTTATCTTGTCTGTGCTGTGCATGCAGGTAGGGCTGCACCGGCAGGGCCAGTTCATCGAGTTTGAGCCCAACAGGGGCATGGTGGAGTGCCACACACCCTCCCCCGTACCCTTCTCGTTCTTTGAAGCTCCTCAAACATCCCCTTTTACCCATCCCGCTCTCTTGTCTCTGTGTTGCCATGCAGGTGGGCCTCCACTAGCAGGGCCAGTTCATCGAGTTTGAGCCCAACAGGGGTGAGTGGGGGAGTGGCCCCTCCCCCTCGTCCCTACCTTTAAGGCGCGTCACACTAACTGTCTCCTGCGTGTGCTGCCTGCGTGTGCTGCCTGCGTGTGCTGCCTGCGTGTGCTGTGCGTGCAGGTGGGGGTGCACTGGCAGGGGCAGTTCATAGAGTTTGTGCCCAACAGGGGTGCGGTGGAGTGGCACACCCCCTTATCCCCCCCTTCCTTTGAGCCCCCCTCTATCTGTGCATGCAGGTGGGGGTGCACTGGCAGGGGCAGTTCATGGAGTTTGTGCCCAACAGGGGCGCGGTGGAGTGGAAGGTGCAGCCGTGGGGCAGCTGGCACATGCACGCTCACAACGAGAAGTATGAGGTGAGGGGGAGTGTGCGGTGAGGAGGAGCAGTATGAGGTGAGGAGGAGTGGTGTGGGGTGAGAACGAGCAGTACGAGGTGAGGAGAAATGGTGTGAGGTGAGGAGGAGCAGTGTGAGGTGAGAAAGGGCAGTGGGAGGTGAGGAGTGGTGTGCGGCGAGGGCGAGTGGCACGAGGTGGGACGAGCAGTGAGAGGTGAGGAGGAGTGGAATGAGGTGAGATTTAGGAGTGAGTTAGTTGTTTCTTTCACTTTCATTTTCATCGCCCCTCCCTGTGCGCCCCTCACTGCACGCCCCTCACTGCACGCCCCTCACTGCAAACAGCGGCCAGTGGGGACTTGTCAACCCCTCATCGCTTTCCCCAGCATCTCCCCAAGAAACTGTGCAAACACACACACAGCTGCGCGACCAGGGCAGTGGGCACGCTGCTACTTCACACCAGTGCTTCACACCAGTGCTTCACACCGGTGCAACTTCACATGCCCCACAAACGTAACAGTGGAGGCGCACGCATTACCGGGTGACAACGGCACTCCCCTGTGAACGCCAACAGTGGAGGGCATGAGGTTCTTCTGCCAACCCCCCATCATCATTTCTACCCGTCCCTCCCTCATCTCCCCCCCGGCCTATACCAGGTGACAGTGGAGGCACACACACTACGGGGCGACAACGGCACGCCCCTGAGGGCGCCAACAGCGGAAGGCATGCGTTTTTTCTGCAAGGACTCATTTGACGGGCGGGTGAAGCTGGAGCTGCGCCAGCGCTACTCGGGGCAGGTGAGCCTCTCCCGACTGAAAAGAAAAATCTGAATAGTGACTGGATAGAGATCTCTCAGTAGCGACTCAAAAGAGAAAGTGGCTCAGATGGGGCACCCCTGTCAGGTGGGGCATGTGAGGCTTTATTGATCACTATCTGGTCATTCCCCATCTGGATCACTCGCCTCTTCTTTACTTCTAGCTCCCTCTCCCCTCCCTTGCTATGTCACCTCTCAATTCTCGTATATGTTACGGCCACGGATAAGTGTAGCGCAGCAGCAGAGGGAACTGTACCCTTTGGACGAGTACGATTCCACTCTGAGACAGCAGAGGGCACAGTAACTGTCGTGCTGAGTTTTGAGACGTCTGAAAACGAAGGAAGCAGTGGGCCGAATAACTGTCACTTCATTTTTGAGGCGTCTAAGAAAGAGTAGCAGGGGCAGGGCATTGAGCGCCTTGAAAGAGTACATCCCGATTCAGAAAACTATCACTCTTCTGCACGTCCCTCAATTGCTCCATCTAACCGCCTCCCACCCACTCCCACCAGGCGCCTCGAACAGCAGCGAGGCAGCTTTCTCAAATCGTAAAAATTGCCTTCTTAAAGAATCCCCCATGCCATCATGTCCCCTCTTGCTCCCACCAGTTCCTTTTGGTAGCACGGAATACTTCAGCAGCAGTAACGGTCCTTGAGAGAATTGCTTCTCTCCATTTGTACAATGTTTCCCCTGCTGCTCGTCCCGCAGGCCATTACCCCCCTCCCCCACTCCCACCAGTCACCCCTAGAGACGGAGAGCACAGCAACAGCAAGGCAGAAAACCGCTTGTATTGTCATCCCCTTACAATGGTCGTATTGAAAGGCTGGTTAAATTTCCACTGTGATGTAATCTCATCCCTCACATACCATCACTCAACCCTCCTCCCACCAGTTGCTCCTGAGGGCGGAGAGCACAGCAGCAGCGGTGGAAGTGGGAGGAGGGCCGTGGTGGGAGGCGTGGGAGCAGAGGAGTCGCATGAACCCCGCTCAGAGCGCTGTCATCTCGCTGCCTCTCAACCTCTCCTCCTTGCTCCCGCCCTCCCTGCAACCTCCGGGCCTGTGACCCTACCGTGTGCCATCATGCCGGCCTGTGCCATCATTATGCCTGTCCTTTCCTGAAGCTGTCACATCGTGCAGCACATAAACGCATATTATTCTGTACTGTATGATGTAACAATTCTATATACTGGAAAGATTTTGTTCTTCGGGTCGGTAGTACCACTGTTGCACAGGGCTGGAATGGAATGGAGAGTACCGTATCACCTGTGGGCTGCAGACTACAAGGTGCTCTGAGTACCGTATTACCAAGGCATCGTAAGGTACTTGTATACATTCCCTCAAATCCAACCATTCCCACGTGAGGAAGAGTAAGAAAAACCAGCACTTGCTTCAGACTGACTTTGCAGTCACATTCATAACTTAAATGGCATGCATGTACAATGGCCTAACTAACCCTAGTGTCAGAGCATTGTGTCAGGATGACGGTTCAGCCTTGGCACTGGCGTCATATGGTACCAGTGCAGCCAAGGGAGGACCCCCAAACCAAACCCTCCTGACACAATGCTCTGACACCAGGCTGCATGAATCTAACTAGGTAAGATGCAGGGAACCATACTAGGTACACTATCCCTCAATCTGACGTGGCAGGGGTGGCGCTGTCAGTAGCCCTTGGGGAGATGCAGTCAGTAGCCCTTGGGGCGGAAGAACACGGAGAGGCCATGCGCCTTGAGGAACTTGCCCGAGAAGAGATCAGGGAAGAGCACCACCCCCTGCACGGCAGCAGTCGCGTTGCGCGGGCCCAGCACTGCCTTCCCTGCATTAGCGCCCACAGAGGGGTAGCGCTGCAGCAGGTCGGTGGGTGGCGCCTTGGTGCGCAGCAGCGTGTTGGGCTTGAGGTTGAGCAGCTGCACGGCGGTGAACTGGCGCTGCAGCACGTTGAACTTGCCGATGGCCTCCATGGCCGTCGTGTTCTGTAGGGTCTTGATCCCCACGCCGTACACCGCCTTGTTCGTTGGCACGAGGAGCGCCGTGTTGAACAGCTGCGGCAGCTGCGAGTCGGGGTACTTGACTGTCCAAAGGGGAGAGGGAGGGACGGGTTGAGGAGGAGAGAAGGGAGAGGAGAGAATGAGTGGATAGGCGAGAGCTGGCGAGGCGGTGTCACGGGACGTGTCTGATTTGTGGCCAGTATCTGCACTTGGGCTATTTTTGTGTGCCTCGGTTCATCACTCAAAAGAAACCCTAACCGAACGACCGATATGCGCTCAAACTGAGAGCGTGGGAGAAAGGGTCCGCTTATTAGAGAAGCGACGACTCGCAGTAGAAAATCGAAGGGAGCAGTACTCACGCATTTTATCGACGCCTTTCCCGAACGCGAGTATTCCTTCGTCTTGGCCAAAACCGCCTTGAGCGCGTTGAGTTCCGCCCGGAATTGCGCCACCGTCGGTGCTGCGTCCGCGTGGCAAGCGGCGAGCAGCAGCAGCGCCACGATGAGAGAAAACGTGTGTGAGCGCGAAATTGCCATGATAGCTTCGGTGCTGCAGTTAGCAAATAATAGGATCTGCGTGGCTATGGAGTGCACGAGGCGTCGCGTTATTGGGAGATGCTGTGAGATTCAAACAGGCAACGTTGACTTCCCACAGCTAGAGCTGTCCAGTTGATCAGCGAGATGGCAGATATAAGGAGCGATGCTAGAGATACTCTGGAAGTCGATGAAAGGTCGCAATAGAAAGCCTTGTAATGTAGGGGACTCTGTAGGGAACTTGTGTGAGCAATGTACAGTAATCTGGAGAAAGCCTTGCCATGCGGGCAGTATTTGTAGTTGTCTCTTTGCGGCTAGGAAAAGCGGTTTGGCTTGGTTTGGCTTGGTGCATAATGGGCCTTTGGTGTTGGTCCCTGCTTGGTGGGTTGCAGTAGTTCGCGTGCGACTGGGAAGAACTGACGGACGGGCAGGGGGAGTTGACGGCCGGTGCCTGCCAAGCCAATGGAACGATGGCTATAGGCGAGCGGTGCCCCTGTGGGATCGTTGGCTCCACAAATGTGGGGCCAAGTGAGAAACCGGGCGGTTCGATCACGCCGACAAGACGCGTCCGTTCTGCGTAGCGCGGGTCCCTCCCACCACTCCACCAAGAGAGGAAGCTCGCGTCTGTTTTCAACTGCGTCATTTTACAATGAAACGCGTTGTCGTTTAGGGGGTTCCAGACAGATGTTACCAGGACGGAACATTAATCTAGAATTGGAAGTCATCACAACTTCCCCCTAGCCCCATTTCCAACCACACCAATATAAAGTACATAATCAATGTACAACCACATATTTCAGGGTAAGAAATCGCTTGTTGTCTTTATGGCGCGCTGCAGCAAGTATTACACGTATTTAAATTCATCAGCAGTTGTCCCCATACGCCACGAATCTGTACCTCTGCTCGTAGTCGGCACTGAATTCCAGCTCAGCAAAGAACCACCGTGGGAAGCACACCAAGTCACCCGCTGCAAACTCCATGCTCTCTTCGCACTCCTGCCATGGACCGATGTATGGGTGGACCGTGGATGACAATGCAGGGAGATTAAAAGAACAAGAGAGTAAACCAGAAAAAAAAGTGTTGGTATCTTGAATTCTCAAACCATCCCCACACTTCTGCTATGGACGCATGGAAGAATGGTAAAACGAGAGGGCAAGGGCCAAGGGTTTCAGGTTTTGAAGCACAAAACTGAGGGCAAATTCAAAATTGGCTCTCGTTCCTGATAAAGAGCATGAGAACGGGCGGAAGGTGAGATTGTGAGGAAACGATTTGTGAACGCTGCATGAGAAGGAGAAACACAAGGAGCACCTAACAGAGCAGACACGGAAACCAGCAGTCATCCTCGGTGTGCCACGTGGCGACATCCTACCTCACATCAGGAGGGTTGTTACTTCAATAGTGCCACGTGTCACAATCCCAGTGACTCACATCAGGAGTGACTCTGAGAGTGCCACTTGTCACAAGCACCTGCTCCTCCACGCGCCAGTCCCACCGGTAGGCACATGGCCCGGGCGTCCACCACCGCTGCCACCTCTCCGCCCCGAGCTCCTGCAAGCATCAGGCATGGTTCAGAATCAGAGATACGAATCAATGGCAGGCACTGTTTTGACTCAGTACCGGGAAGAGTGAGTAAGGCACAATTGTGATATGGGCCACATGTGCCAGTCACACGGCCCGGCTAGTCACGTCAATGTCGCCATCTCTCCGCCCTGACCTCCTTCAAACAGCAGGCATGGGTCAGCAAACATGGGTCAGCAGGCATGGGTCAGCAAACATGGGTCAGCAGGCATGGGTCAGCAAACATGGGTCAGCAGGCATGGGTCAGCAAACATGGGTCAGCAGGCATGGGTCAGCAAACATGGGTCAGCAGGCATGGGTCAGCAAACATGGGTCAGCAGGCATGGCACACAAAGTTTCAAGACAATTGCTGGGACATTGAAGCCGTGATGAGATATGGGGCACAAACCCTGGGCATACGTGGTGGTTACATGCACCCTCTGCCCGCAGCGCCTGAAAGCAGCAAGCACGCCAGGCGAGGAGAGGTGTTGAGAGCTTAAACCCCGAACCCTGTACCCATACCCGCGGGTAGCAGTGCTGAGCGGCGAGGGTAAGTCGGGGAATCGCATGGTTTTTATGAAATCCCTCTATCGGGGCCGTGACTGGCTTTCAAGTCGACCTAGGGTCTAGGGTGAGCGGCGAGGGTGTGGGTGAGTGTGGGAACCATAGGGTCACTGCACCCTATGACCCTGCACTACAGGGTTGCTGTGGAACTATAAGGGGGCCATCATGGCTGGTGGGTGTGGCACGATGCGATGGGTGGTGGTGTCCCATCATGGGAGCGGCAGTGGCGAGGGATGGATGGGAGCGGCAGTGGCGGAGACGGCGGGCTGATCGCACGGTCTTGCGCTCGTCGCACCGCGCGCGCTTCCACCCACCCACCTCTCACCCCACCGTAACCTAAAAGATCCCGTCATTAGCGTCGCATATCGAGTGCCCTGCTGGTGCGCTATCTCCATTCGAGGCGCCTACAAAGCCTCCCCCTCCATGTTTAAAGATCATCCTCTTAAATCCATTCATTCGCCTGCGCGGGCGCGATGACTTGTGCGCGCTACCTCGATTCTGTCGGCGGAAACGTCCCTCTCCACGCGCACGCCGTATCGCTCCGCCAGCGGCGGTCGCCGCCGAACGTTCAGCTCCCACTCCGTGCGTGCCGCAACCCCCGCGCTCGGCCCCGTTGCGCGCTCCGACTCCGCGGATTGCGTGAAGCTTGCGCGCGGACCCCGTGCGCCATGCCGTGTGCGCGCGCCGAAACCAGCGGAAAGTCGGGTGTTTGTGAGGGGGAACATGGGATTTCTGCGCGGAAGGGTTTGTAGCGTGGTGGGTTGGGAGGAGTCGTCGCTTGGGGGTAGAAGGGGCGCAGCGGTGTGAATCGCGCGAAATGCTGACGCAGATATCGCCATGCGAACAGCGAGCGAAAGATGCGGGGGTGGCTCGAAGCGCAGATAGCGATTATGGAGGAATTGAAATGCTTATGGCGGCAGACGGAGTCCGTCTAATTGGATGTTCTGGGTTCCTACTAAGGCGTACGGAGGATGTGACAAATAATGCTGTGGTAGTTAGAAGCACTCGTGGATCGTGCTTGATCAGCCATTCCTGTGCAGCTGCCACTGCCACCTCTATGAGGGATTTCGTCCCGATAAAGAAAGAATACGGTAGGTGCGCTACAAGGGGATTTGGCCATTTTACTGGAGAAACACTACCTGAATGGCTACATATTTTTTCACGAACCCAGGTAGTGGACAAGGGTATGTTGATGCATACGGTATGTGACACCAGCCTAGAAAATGTTCTCGAAGTGAACCTAATGAATAAAAGAATTTGCAACAAAGCGTATAACATTTGCGAGTACAAGAGAGCAACAAACTATACATTATTTCCCCTATCATGGAGCAAGAGCCAGGGACTCAGCAATACCCATCTGACCACCAACCTACATCAGACGGGAGGTGCAAACACCAGGTGCCTGCCGATCCCCTTTCAAGAATTCTCAAAAGTGATATGAGAAGAGTTAAGCAAGCGAGCTGAATGGCGATGCTGCTAAGCAAGCGGGCTACTGGGAGGGAACCAGGTGCAGTTCCACCAGTACTTGTACGAGCTGTACGTGCACTTGCGGGGGCTCTGGCTCCAGCAGCTGGACGGCGCCAGGCACGTGCTCGTGCTGCACGGCACTCTAGCGCAGCACATGCACTGGCTGTAGCACGAGTCGTAGTTCGACTGCATCTGCGTCGTCGTGCCGCCCAGCGTGTCCCGTGTCGCGCGGCACACATTCTCACACACAGTCTGCTCCACCGCACAGCATTTCCCGGGCAAGTCGCCCTGCAGGACGGTGCAGTCGCTGTCAAGCGGCTTCCAGTTGGGGTAGGGGCAAGTGCTCCAGGTGCAGTTATAACCCGCGGCTGGAGCCAGGCCGGTTCGGCCGGTGCAGGCGGCGTTGCAGCCGGTGCAGACGCCGTCCTGAATGACCGGCAGCGCGTAGTTGCAGAGCGCGTCGCAGTAGGACGGGTACGTGACATAGTCCGCGCCGCAGACCGGGAGGGACTGCGCACAGCCGCAGTCGAGGATCCCCACGCGCGCGTCACACGGGATGATGAGCTGGGTGTTGGCTACCAGGGGGGAGGTTTCGAGGATGTTGTTGGCTGCTGCGATGGCGGCGGGGGAGACGGAGGAGGTGGTGCAGCGCGTGATGAATTTTGAGGAGATGAGGGCGAGGGAGTCGTTGGGGAGAACGGTGTAGAGCGAGAAGGAGGTGCTGGATGCGGTGAGGAGGGATGCGAGGAGCGGGGAGTTGATGCAGACCTTCTGGCCCACTTGGAGGTAGGGGGCTTGGCACTGCAAGGGGGATGGGGTGTAGGGGACGGGGGAGCATGAATGATGAGCAGATGAACCGTGTGGGAGGAACGGCAGATGATGGAGCAACGAAGCAGCGTTTGCAGAAGAAGGGAGGAAGGGAAGTGATGCGAGAGAGTGGCGAACCAGAGCATGGATGAAGGCGCAACGGCTTGTGTTGCCTTGTGTTGCCTGAATCCAAGAACCATAGAGGCGAAAGTGGAGGCTAGAATTGGTGGCTCACCCGGATGCCGGGGTTGATAGCAAGGAAGGTGGACTCGGTGAGGTTGGCGGCGTTCCAGATGTTGGGGCAGTTGTCTCCCTGCAGCACCACGTACCATGCCGTGCAGTTCACTGTCGTCTGTCATGGGGAAGGAAGGAGAGAGAGCAGCAAGAGAGGGCGAGGCAGTGAGACAGCAGCCCTGCAGCACCATGCGTGCCATTTCGTGCAGCTCACCAAGGCGTGCAGGGGAAGGCATGGCGCAAGAGGCAAGCGGAAAATTCCAACGGAGGAAAGTGCCCAAACAAAACTCGAGCCAGAGGAGAGAACCTGCAGCGCGGATTCCTGAGCTTCGTACTGCCTGGCAGTCCTGGGACCCTGCCGTCCCTTCCCGCGACGCACCTGGGTGCTCTTGGGCGCGACGCAGACGTACGACCCCACGGGGAGGGCAGTGGTGCACGAGAGCGCGCTGTTGAGACCCATGAAGGCGCCCAGACTGATGGCATACTTGGATGCCACGGACGGGCACGTGTCGCCCACCACTGTGATGTATGTCTGCCCGCACTGGGGGATGGGCACTGCTGCCAGCGAGGAGAGCGAGCTGGTGGTCGTGCAGATGACCTGGCAGGGGGGTTACAGGGAGACGCGAGAGGTGGTGAAGTAAGGGAATTGGGGTTCTGTAGAGAGTAAGAAACACAACGACGAAAACAGCAACAAAAACGCCTTAGTCACCTGAGCCGGGTAGAGGAAGAAGCGTGACGTGGTGCACGTGAGCGGGTTGGCAGCACGCAGCGCCGACAGGCTCCCCGCGAAGAAGGTGTTCGCGAGGGATGTGCAGGTGTCGTTGGGTTGCACGGAGTACGTCGCGGTGCAGAGCGGTGTGGAGGGGGCTGCGGCGGTGGAGGAGGCGTTGGCGACGGTGAGGATGAGCGTGGGGGGGAGGAAGGCGAGGGAGCAGTTTAGAAAGGGGTTGAGAGCGGTGAGCGCAGCGGTGGTGAGGCCGAAGGCGGCAGCAACAGAGGAGCAGGAGTCACCGGGGACGGTGGGGTAGGCGAGGAACGAGGCTGGGCCGCCCGCCACTCCCACACACGTCTGCGTGCCGTCTGACGCTGCTCCTATGGCGTAGCCCTGCCAGGGGGAAGGGGAGAGGAGGGAGAAAAGGAAGGAGGGGATGAGTAGGCTGCGAGTGTGGTGGAGAGAGGCAGGCACCGGTTCAGATGAGAGGGGAAACGCGTGAGGAAATAAGAGAGCATGGTTACTGAGCTGAAAAGAAACAAAATGTCTGGTATGGCACTCACGGGGGGCAGAGACAGACAAGGGCACTCGGCGCACTCGTAAAGAAGAGAGCATGTAAAGTCGCCAGGCGCGCACTCACCGCAGGGCATTGGCACGAGTAGGTGCCGTCGCCGGGGTTAACGCATGTGCCGCTGCCGCACGGGTTGTACTGGCCGCGGCTGGAGCAGGGGTTGCGCGGAACGCACTTGCTGGTGGGCACGCCCGTCACCTCCACCATCCCCGCCACCGCGCTGCAGTCGCACCGCGCCATGCCCGCGCGCGTGTAGCAGCGCCCCGCGCCGCACGGGTTGATCCCCGCGCACGCGTCCAGAGCCGCGGGGTACGCGCGCGTCCACCAGCGGCCGTCGTTGCCGTCGTCCGCGCGCGAAATGGGACCGTTGTTCATCTTGACGGGCTGCGGCCCGCTCGGGTAATACACCGGATACATGGCGGGGATGCTGTGGTGGGGGGAGGCGGAACGAAAAGGGAAGGGGAGGCGAAAAAGAGAGCAGGAAATGTAAATGGGAAAGCGAGGATTGACGGTATACTGGAACCAAAGGGGGAGGATGGGGCGGAGAGAAGGCGAACTGGGACGAAGAACCGCTTACGCGTGGAGGCCGCATTTCCCGCGCACGTCGGGCGACATGGCGAGGTACATGTACCCGGCATCGCCCCATGTGTTGAACCACGTGTTCTTGAGAATCCAATAGCTGCCCACGAGGCTGGGCCCCGTGTAATTGTACCCCACCACCTGCACCGCGTGGTTGATGTCCGTCGTAAATTTTCAGCTGCCCGCGCGAGTTGTACTGCTGGAAGTCCTGCGCGGAGCCGCTGAGGAAGGCGACGACGGGCTGCATGCTGACCGCCTTCATCAGCGCCTGCGCGCTGTACGGCGGCACCAGCTCCCACCCCGTGATCTGCGGCGGGGAAGAGGGAGGGAGGGAGGGACGAACGCCGAGTCAAGAAAGAGAGGAAAGGTATGAGTCGAGAACAAATACACCCGCGGAGAGGCGTGATGCATTGGGAAGAGGCTAGATCAAGCTGCGACAGGCACGGCGACCAACAGGATAGCGGAAACTCGGCTTGGAGAGGAGAAAACTTCATGGAGTCAAGTGTTCTGTGTGACTGACCTGGGCTGTGGTCGGCGTGAGCAGGGTAGCCTGGCACACTGTACTGTCGTTAGCCATGTAGGGGTAGTTATCCACGGAAGTGATGCCGCCATTAAAGAGTATGTAAGAAAAGGCCCAGTCGGGCCAGCCCCCCTGGCAGCACTGCTTTGTCCCGCAGTCGCACACCTGCCAGCCGCGAAAAGGAACCCTCGACTGAGAACATCGAACCCGGATAAGTACAGTAACTGATACAATGATTCACGCCTATACGAAATATAGAAATAAACGTGCTGATGAGAGAAAGGAAGGCTTTCAAGAAGCACAGCACTGCATTTTCACACACTTGCTGCGGGGAAAGGATGGCTGGGAGAGAGTTGGTGCTGATCGCCCACATCATGGAGATAGAATCAACGGCTGCGATCGCCCAGCAGCTAGCGCACTGCCATGACAAGGAATGGGAGAAAAGAAAACAGAAATGTTGTTATTGAAGTTTCGTGAAAAGAGAAGAGCGTTGCGTCGAGCACGAAAAGATCCGCGATCGTGGACAGCAGTTCAAACACGGCGGCAATACCTGGTATTGCCGTTGAATGGGCGAAATGTACATCGTCTGGCGCCAGTCCACCACCGCATTCGGCGTGACGGACTCGAAACGGAAAAACGTGTTGTTGACGTCAGCCATGCTGGGCCCTGAGTTGAGCGGCGGGGGATTCAGCCCGAACTGCTTCTTCGGCGCATCTTTCAGTTGGCGACGAGAGACGTTTTCTTCGCCAATATCGTCATTTTCGCCATCGTCGTCGGGCACCGAGTCCCTGAGCCTCGCTGCTCTGTATATCTCCTTCAGTTGCGGGCTCAGCTGCATTGTTTCCGTCAACGCCTGCTCGTAGCGCGTTGCGAAGCTGTCGCTTAGTAGCGACTGCGATGCGGCAAGGGACAGACTGCATGATGCGAGAAATGTGAGGATGATGAGAGGCGAACCTCTCCTGCACGAGCGTGCGATACCCATTTCGAAGTGCTAGGACCACTTCGATTCGGTAAGTGCGTGATATGCTGCTGTCGTAAGAAGACTGCGAACACGAAGTTATTTGGGATTGCACAGGGAGGAGCTGGGGGAGCTGGGGGAGCTGGGGGAGGAGCAAATAGCTGAAGGTGCGGCTGCTCAGTCCGAGAAACATGTGTTGCTCGAGGTGTTCTGGAGAAATCCCTCAATACCGACATTTAGAAGCTTGTTCTTGCGACAGGCCATCTGCGCCTCATCCTGCGGATGCGGGCGTTTCGAACTTCGGTTCGGAGGTGCGTCCAAGAGATGCGAGCGTGCAAGCTATGGCGGTAGGTGAAGAAGTGGCGTAGGACCTTGCTGTGGCTGCTGCTGCTGTGAGAGGGATGTCCCACCCGTCCCACCCATCACATCCATCACATGTGCACATTTTGGACAGATGCGGCTCGGAGTCTGTTGAAATAATCTCGTTGGGCTGTTTCGCCAGATCGCTGTTCTGTAACAAGCAGCAATGCCAGCTGCCACGCATCGAGGCCTATGTCGGGGATGAGCAGCGTCAAACAGCAGCAGAGGCCGTTGCCTGTAATAACGCGGCCCTGATGTCAGTTCCAAGCTGGCAACGGGGACCAACCAGAGGAGCCAACTAAAGGAGCCGACAGGGCCTGTCTCCTTTGAGTCGCCAAGGGGCGCACGTTGCTCCATTGTGCTCTTTTGTCGGTTGGTCGTTTCCTATGCCACGTGTTTGTTAGGTGGTTCGTTAGGTGGTGCGTTGCAGGGTTAGGGGTTCGGTTGGTGTGTGCGTGTGTGTCGTTTTAACTTGGCCCGCTACAGAACATAGACACAACCGTCCACCAGTCAGTTGTCACATTAAGAACTTTTCTTACAACTTAATTTTAAATAGAAGACTAGAAAACAATGCAACTCATTGTAGGCTGGCACATTTGCAACATTTTCATTACCATGTGGTACCTATATTACATTCCCAAATCGATACAAATAAGTTTCTCAAAATATCGAGATAAGTGAGTATTGACTTCAACCATCACACCCACCCATATGCACCTTATTTCCGTGTTACAGACACAGGTGATCCACCTATCCGACACCCCTGTCCCATTTTCCCTATCCCTACCAAGGATGGGTGAAGAAGGTGAAAAATGGAGTATTGTAAAAAGACTTTTAATGAAGCACTAGTACGGTAGAATACAGGTTGGGCACTGGATGGGCGCAGGTTGGACTGCATCATGCAGTGGTTGCCTGGCAGGTGAACTCCCTTCTTCCTAGCCCAAGCGCACGAAAATGGGTGAAAAGAAGTAACTGTACAATTTAGGGGGACGCACGCACTGCAGTCCTCCTTACCGCACCGCACTCCCCAGTGTACCATTATTCAGAGAATCAGCCGCCACGCTCGCCCTAACAACCAAAGGGACACACACACCTGGGCTCCGCAGTCAATCACAGCAGCAGCAATCCAGCCAATCACAGGTGCGCATGCAACGCAGCCAATTAGAGCTCGAGCACGACGCAGCTGACAACCACATCGGAGGGGCACCCAACGCCGTCAATGCGGCGAGTGAGCAGCACCCCATCGCACCGCAACGCCTCCTCCACCTCCACCACCACCATCGACAGCCCCCGCCCTATCACGTACAGCCGCCCGCGAAACCCTAATATCCGGCACGGCGGCGTCAGCAGCGCCGGCGACAGGCGGCCAATCGGGCGCCACATCTGCGCCACGTCATCGTACACGGCCAACCGGATCCCTCCGATCTGATCCAGCATGTACATCCGACCGTCCAGCACCGTGGACGGGCCGTGCCAGGCGGAGGGAAGGTTCCCGGAAAGTGGGGACCAGGAGTTGGAGGAGAGGGAGAAGGCGACAGCGTCGGGGCCGGGAGGGGAGTGCACGCAGCGCATGTGGCGCAGCAGCAGTCGGTTGGCCAACACTGCTGCATCCTCTAGATCGCACTCGAAGGGTAATGGAGCGGCACTGGTCCACCTGAGAGAGGGGGAGGGCAGGGAGGGCAGGGAGGGCAGGGAGGGCAGGGAGGGCACGGAGCAAGGGGCACAGGGCAAGGGCAAGAAGGCAGCAGCACAGAGAGAAACGCGAAATGCGATTTAGGTCGACACAAAACACGTTAGGCATGGCGGAGAGGACACAAAAGAGACAGGCGGAGAACTACCGAAACGGAGGGTGAGAAGCATGAGAAAGAGGGTGATGCATGGCAGTACATGTGGTACAGTAGCACATGCCATGCCTCTACTGCATGATGCTGTGCTTCTTCTCTCCATCTGTCCATGCAGCCTTCACTTCCCCCTACAGCACGCACCGGTCCTCCTGCGGGTGGTACACTTCAACTGACGTCAGCAGTGACGTGTTGCTCGCCCCCATGCCACCCGCCACCACCAGCCGCTCACTCGCCCATGCCCCTCCCGCCGAACACACCTGTGCCCCCTTGCGGCTCTCTCCCTCTGGCCCTCTCGCCTTCCCCCCTCTAGGCTCCCTGCTGCTACCCCCGCCTTTCCCTCCGCTGCTCGACTCACCCCCTCCTGCTTCGTCTCCAACCCTTTCACTTTCCTCTACTCTGCTCCTCTCGCCATCCCCTTTCCCCCCACTAACGCTTCCTCCCTCTCTCGCCCCCTCACCATCCTGTAACCTCTCCCTTTGCCTCTCCCTCTCCCACCCGCCATCCCCCAATCTATCTCCCGCCTCCCTCCCCTCCCTCCCCCTGTCGCCCCCTTCTCTGAGCCACCCCGCGCCCTGCTCCCCGCCCTTGCCATCCCTCTCCAGGCGCACGGCACCGGCCACGCAGTAGCAGCGGGGGAAGGCCATGTCCGCCACGCGCACCCACTTGTTGGCGGGGGGGTTGTACCTGGGGGGGAAGGCGGGTAGGGGGGAGGGGAATGCGCACAGCGATGGAGCAAGCGGAAAGGAAATCCACTTGCTAATAGCAGCGGGGGCGGGAAGGCCATGTCCGCCACATGGGCGCGTAGCATAGCATATTGTCCCACCCCACCACCAACCCACGGCCTCAGCGAACCATGCCTTCCCACAACTGCCCACACATAACCCACCATGCTGTCTTGCTGCCTGCACTGCACCCACCTGTACACGTGTGGTCTGCTGGGCTTGATGAGCGACCCCGCCCCGCCAATGACATAGAGGCTGCCCTGGCAGGCGGCACAGGCGAGGCTGTACGCAGGGCAGCAGAGAGAGGGCATGCTGCCCCACCACCCACGGCCTCATGCCATGCAGACCAACTCACAACCTACGGCCGTACCCACCTGTACACGTGCGGTCTGCTGGGCTTGAGCCACCCTGCACCGCCAATGACGTAGAGGTTGCCCTGGCAGGCGGCACAGGCGAGCCCGTAGGCGCGCGAGCAGAGGGAGGGCATGCGGGGGACGTCGTGCCACGTGGCAGAGCGCACGTCCAGTGCATGCCACCACAGGCGGTCCGAGCTGTCCCGGGATAGCACGTACACCCACCCCTCCTGCACTCCCCTGTGCCGCCGCATCTCGTAGTACAGGGGGGACTGGGGCGGGAAAAGAGGAGGGGTGCGAAGGGGGGAGGGGGGAAAGGGGCAAAGGAGAAAGGGGGGCGGGGTGATGAGCAGTCGTTGAGAGACAGCACATGCACCCACCACTCTTGCACTCCCCTGCGCCGCTGCAGCTCGTAGTACAGGGGGGACTGGGGGAAGGGGGAGCTGGCGGAAAGGCGGGCATGGTGATGAGGTATGGCAGGAATATTTCACTGAAAGCGTGGATAGAATCGAGCCAAGAACCTGACGGCTGGCAGCACACCTGACGGCTGGCAGCCCACCTGACGGCTGGCAGAACACCTGACGGTTGGCAGCACACCTGACGGCTGGCAGCACACCTGACGGCTGGCAGCACACCTGACGGCTGGCAGCACACCTGACGGCTGGCAGCACACCTGACGGCTGGCAGCACACCTGACGGCTGGCAGCACACCTGACGGTTGGCAGCACACCTGACGGCTGGCAGCACACCTGACGGCTGGCAGCACACCTGACGGCTGGCAGCACGTGGACGAGCTGGCATGGCTCACCTGAATGAGTTGGTTCCAGCGCCGTGAGACGCGGCGCATGGCGCGGTGCTCCTGGCGCGGCAGGCGCAGCAGGCACTCCGTCGCCAGGTCGTCCGGCAGCCCGGGGATCAGCGGCGCCGCCTCCGCGCCCCCGGCGACTACGCCTGCGTCGCACGGTGATTCCGCGTGCGACCCTGACGACGCGGGTGCTGATGCTGCGGGGTGGCGCCGCGCACGGCGGGAAAACGATGGCGGATGGGGAAAGAGAAACAGCAGGGAGACGGTAAGGAACGACGTGGTCGCACCTGTCGCATGCCATGCGACATGGCATTTGAACGAGTCGCATGGCATGTGTCGCACGGCAATCTCTGCATGACGAAAATTCTCTGTTCTCCGTACGAATTCCGATACCGGCGCCTTGGTATAGGCTGTTTCTTACTGAAACGACATCTTAGTGAAACTAATCACTCGCGCCTCACCACTTCCACCTCACCATGGCTCGCATCTCTTCTCATCGGCGCGCTTCCACTAGATTCGCGCTCTCCATGAACCTCCTGTCTGTCGTCTTCTGAGCTTGACGTGGCAACGGATGACGTGTCACTGGATGACGTGGCAACGCATGACGTGGAAACGACACGTGCATTCGACGCACGGTCGAAATTTTCTGCCGCGTCGACTGAGGTAATGGCACCCATGGAACCCGCTGTTTCTAGCCAACGCGCATAGCCCGGAGAAACACCGAGATAAAGAGAATATGTACACGAATCCCGCTCGAGAGAACCGCGAATCCAACGATTCAAGAAACGGATACGTTAAAAAAGATTCATGCGTGGCATCAGCAGAAGCAGGCGCGCTGCCTAAATTAGTCGGTCCAGGGCAGTCTGACCACGTACGAGGAGATTAGCAACTACGAGAATTGAAGTGCATGGATGAGAGCAAGGACGGGCGTGGGTAACATGAGAAGGAAAATAATGTCATTTCAGGCGAGAGGAGATTGCTAGTGGCAGCCATAGTTCCGAGAGAAGGACCGCCAAGTGAAGAGATTCGTACGCGGTAATATGTTGCGTCCATTTGTTGAGGTACGAAGGTGTCTAACGTACCAGCTAAAATCCTTCCACGTATTTTTTTACTTCATGTACTCACAGACCATTTATCCCACCAGTTCACACGGAGACTTCACTGAAATATGATGCATTATAGATTAACGTACTATTGATATATCAATACGGTAACATTTTTCACCACGTTCGGTATGTAAAACGGTTTACACCAATAATACACGTGTTTCACATTCGCATTCTGCAGATTGTATCATCGATCAAGCCTCATAGAATGGAGTTGGGGCGCATACAATCGAGTCAGACCAGCCTCCCCCCTTCCACCACCATTTTCGCTGGTTACATGTTCATCACCGCATTCGTCGCCTCGACTGCAGGCGATCGGGTTTCGTTGCGATCGTATTGCACGCGACCCTTCTTATGCGACTCAAGACTCCATTAGTCGTTTGTTCAGCTCTCCGTGTTCGCCGCAAATGACTCTGGCGCGACCACTACCGCCCTGCGCGCATCCCTCACATTCTCGGCCAGTGGCCTGGTCCCATTCGTCATGTAGCCTCGCCGAAACTTCCTGGCGCCAGCCTCTTGTTTGCTACCATTCATCGAGGCATGGTGGTCACTCGACATATCGTCGTACTCGTTACCGCCAGAGCCGTTTAAACGGAAACTCGTTCCAAGCAGACATCGGTCTTGCGTCTTCCTTCCTAAGCGGAGACACTGGGATTGGCTGGAGAACCGCAGGCCTCGCAGCGGCGAATCGTGAGGACCGTTACGGCGCACGCTCCCCTAAAAGAACTTCGATACAATCACATGGTGCCGTATTCCACTCTGACAACCATGACGGCCGTAGAGATATACCGTACTCCCAAGAGGTCTCCAGTTCGAACCCTGTCGTTGCCACTATTTCATCGGACGAAAGGCCACAATCGTCCACATCAGCGCAAAGCCCCGCAACCAGCAAACTTTCTCCACTGGCTCAGCTTGTCTCATCCTCAGTTAAGCAGTCTGTATGGGCGGCAGCGTTTGGCATCTTGCTGCTGGCAGGAGCTCGAGCTGCTGTAGCACAGACAGGCGACCACGTCAGCAAGAGTGCCGTCACAGTAGCTGCTTCTACCTTAAGCAAAGCCTCTCCTAACGGGGACGTTAGCAGCAGCAGCCTTGTGAGGAATGCGGCAGGTGGTGCAACAAAGCAAGTGGTTGGCAGCGAGGGAGAAAAGGGAGAAGGAGTGGTGGGGAGAGGGCAGGAGGGAGAGAGGAGGGAGGTGAGAAGGGGGCAAGGTGGGGAAGAGGAGGGGAGGGAGGAAGAGGAGAGGGAGGGTGCGGAGGAGGAGGCGGAGATGGGTCGGGCGTACAGGCGGTGGGTGGAGAAGCCGGCGAGCCTGAGCGTGCCCCTCAGAGTGGTGGCACTCAGAGGCACGGTGGCGAGCATGTGGCGCAAGGTGAGAGGCACGCCTGGTAGGCATGTGGCGCAAGGTGAGAAGCACGCCTGGTAGGCATGTGGCGCAAGGTGAGAAGCACGCCTGGTAGGCATGTGGCGCAAGGTGAGAAGCACGCCTGGTAGGCATGTGGCGCAAGGTGAGAAGCACGCCTGGTAGGCATGTGGCGCAAGGTGAGAAGCACGCCTGGTAGGCATGTGGCGCAAGGTGAGAAGCACGCCTGGTAGGCATGTGGCGCAAGGTGAGAAGCACGCCTGGTAGGCATGTGGCGCAAGGTGAGAAGCACGCCTGGTAGGTATTTCCAGTGGTGCGCATGAGGCAGCCTGAAACAAAGTGACTGTGGAACAAAGTGACTGTGGAACAAAGTGACTGTGGAACACATTGCAGCGTGGCTATGCTCCTGGACACTTACCCTCCTCCTCCTTCTCCTCCTCCTTCTCCATTCCATCCCTCTCGCCCCTTCCTCCCCGCTCCCATATTCGCACCTCCCTTTCCTACCCCCCCTGGGCACCACGCCTACCCCCACACCACATGCTACCCTCATGCCCCCATCAGGACTTCCTGCAGTCCCAGTCGGGCCTGGCGAAGCTCACAGTGGACGCGCGCCCCTCCCACGCCGCCATCGCCTCCGACCTCCTCGCCCCGCTCCCCACCACTGCCATGCCCGCCGCCGCTCCCTCTTCCTCCTCCGCCCCGTCGCCTGCCCCCTCCACGGGGCAGAAGAAGGCCCGGGGGAAGAAGGGCCGCGCACAACCATCCCTGCGCTCCGCTGCAGCTGCTGATGTTGTCACTGTGGGGGATAGGTGAGGCGCCTTGACGTGTAAGTGAGCTTATAGAGGGGACAGGTGAGACGGCTTGTAGATGGGACAGGTGAGTGGGCTTATAGAGGGGACAGGTGAGAGGGCTTAGATGGGAGGCTGATAGAGGGGAGGGGACAGGGGGAGGAGGCTTGTAGAAGGGGCACACGAGTGGGCTCGAAGTCGCCCACTTTCCTTGTCACTATGTGCGTCCCCTATGCACGGACCTTGTCCATACCTGTTTCTGTTTGCTTACCCCTTCGCCCTTTCACTAAGAACTCACGTCCCCTCCCCTCCCTTCCCCTCCCCTCCCCTCCCCTCCCCTCCCCTCCCCTCCCCTCCCCTGCCCTCCCCTCCCCTCCCCTTCCCCACGTCCCCCTCCCCCGTTCCCCCCGACCTCTTCCTTCCCCCCCGAGGGCATCAGGTGGCTCAAGGAGCTGATAGCGCGCGGGGCCCTGCTGCCTCTGGATGGCGTGGAGCGATCTGATTGGTTCAAAGCCCTGGGACCCACGTGGCTGGTGAGTGCGTGCTGTGTTGGGCGCCCAAAAGGGGTTGTGCGCATTTAGGGGTCCTGTCCACAAGTGCCGCAGCTGTCAGCATCAGCATCAGCATGAGCATGAGCATGAGCATGAGCATGAGCATGAGCATGAGCATCACCCCCCATCCATGCCCTCTCTGCTCCGCTCTGCTCTGCTTCCGCCCTCTCTACCGCATGCAGAGGCTGCTCGACCGCACCCCCTCAGGCCACCTAACTTTCCCTAGCCCGCCCACCACCACCGCCACCACCGCCAGTGGCAGCAGGGAGGGCGGGGAGGGGGAGGTGAGGGGCAAGGTGTACGCAGTGCCATACCGCATGGGGTACCTGGCAGTGGCATGGCGGGCTGATAGGCTCCAGCAGCAGGGCGTCAAACCCATTGAGGTAGGGAAGGGGGAGGGGTGGACAGCACATATCATTTGAGGCAGGAGAGCCGCCTCAAATGTACCGTACCACCCTCTCGGCTGACCTGACTCGTCCTTGTCTGTATCGTCTCATCCATGCACTACCCACGCTTCATCATTCTCCTCCTTCCACCATCTCCTCCTCCTTCTCTCCTCCTACCCCCCCAGCTTCGCCATCCGTCCCATCTCCTCTCGTGTCCTGCCAATGCCCTCCCTCTCACAACACCTCCCAATGATGTTCCCTGCAAACCACTTCCCTCCCACCACCGCCCATCCCCTCTTCATTCCCCCTCCACCCCTCTCCATCCCTTTCCATCCCTTTCCATCCCTTTCCATCCCTTTCCATCCCTTTCCATCCCTCTCCATCCCTCTCCATCCCTTTCCATCAGACGTGGAGTGATCTCTGGCAGCCAGCGCTACGCGGACAGGTGGCAGTCATTGATTCGCCGAGAGAGCTGCTGGCTGTGACGATGAGGTGAGTCAATCAGCGCGGGGGAAACGGGGAGGTGAATTGGGGTGGGGGGGGGGTAGAGATGGGTGGTGCCGGAAGAAAGGGGGTGGGTGTTGGTTGAAATCTCGAGCTGCATTCTCTGAGTTGCCAAGTAGCTTCTAATGGCACGGCTGAATGGCTTGGATCAGAAACAACCTGGCCATTCAGCGCAGCCTTCTGGACTCGCATGTGCTTTCTGTGTCGACACAATTCTCTCCAGCTGCATTGCACCCATGCTTCCCACCTCCTCCTCCCTCTTCACTCACACAGGTCGCTAGGAGCGTCCTTCACCGCATGCAGCTCGCACGTGCTTTCTGAATCGACTCCTCCTCCTGCTCTCCCTCTCAACCCCCCCGCACAGGTTGCTCAGAGCGCCCTTCAACGCCCGCAGCCCTCTGGACTCGCATGTGCGTTCCGAGTCAGACTAAAAAATCACTGCTCGCAGCCATGCTTCCCATCTCCTCCTCCTCTCCCCCTCAACCCACGCAGGTCACTAGGAGCGCCCTTCAACGCCCACAGCCCGCTGGACTCGCATGTGCCCGGAGGCATGCCCGCTCTCAAGGCCAGGTGGCAAGCTCTCCTGCACCAGGTGCGCTGACGTGGCTTGCTGACGTGGCTTGCTGACGTGGAATGCCGGCTTGCCCCACATGAGCTTCAAATGGATTCTGGATCTGCTTGTGCTTGCCTGGTTTGGAATCTCTAAGTGAGATACGGAGCACCATGGGTAGCACCCTGTCTGGATGTGGCTCTTCTCTTTGCAATACGTCAACCATCGATACTGGGTTACAGATGGTTACCCGGGTGGTGGCTACACCTCCCTCTCCTTCTCCTCCCACCCTCCCACCTTCACCCCTCAGGTGCGGGTGTGTGACAGTAGCCACTACCTCAAGGCACTGCAGGCATCAGACGTGCTCGTGGTGGTGGGTTGGTACTCGGACCTCCTTCCCCCCACCCCCTGCACTCATTGTTTCTCTACTTCCCCACTCCCCATCCCTGCACCCCTCAGGTGCGAGTGTGTGACAGCAGCAACTACCTCAAGGCCTTTCAGGCGTCAGACGTGCTAGTGGTGGTGGGATGGTCCCCCGACCTCCTCCCTCCCTCACGTTTCCCCTCCGCACTCATTGTCTCTCTCCTTCCCCCCTCCCCCTCCCACCTCCCCCGCAGGTGCGGGTGTGTGACAGCAGCAACTACCTCAAGGCCTTTCAGGCATCAGATGTGCTAGTGGTGGTGGGGTGGTCCTCCGACCTGCTCCCCTTCGCCCGTCGCAACGCCAACATCACCGTCGCCGCCCCTGCTGACGGCACTCTCCTCTTTGCCGACTTATGGGTGAGCGCCACGTGTCGTTCTTCTTGCTGTTTTCCCACTCTGCGCCCATTGTTTCCTGTATCTATGGTAGTCACCTCCCACCAGACTAGCTTTTGAGTTATTCATTTCAGGCAGCTGTTGCAGATACCTGTGTACAGAACAGATGTGTGGTATGCGGTCACATTTCAATTTCCATCCGTCTAAATTCTCCTTCGCTCTATCCACCCCTCTCTTCCCCCCACCAGGCCGTGCCCGCTACAGCCCGCTACAACATTCCCAAGGCTGCCTGGCGCAACCGAGGGCCCTCCCCCCTCATCGGGCAGTGGATGAAATTTTGCCTGCAGCCCGCCCGGGCAGTGCCCCTGGAGCGGGAAATATTTTCCGCCTTTTCCCCCACGGTCCTGCCCGACTGCCTCCCCCTGGCACCAATGCAACCAGCTGACACCTCAAGCATCAATGCCACTAGCAGCGGTGATAGCAGCACCAAGGGCAGCACCAGCCGTGCCACCACCACCAGCAACAGCAACAAGAGCGGCACCACCACCACCACCACCACCACCACCGCCGCCACTACCGCCGCCACCACCACCACCACCACCACCACCGCCACCAACAGCAGCAGCAGCAGCGCACGTGGGCTACCAGCAGCGGCCATCCTGGCAGCGAGTGAGTTCGTGGAGCCACTGGATGGCGCCACACAGGCAGAGCTGAACCAAGTGCTGCTGGGGGACAAGAAGGGGGGAGTGGGTGCCCAGGGGCAGTCGATGCAGGGCCGGGTGAAGCAGGCGATTGAGGCTGTTGGACTGGCGTTGGATCAGCTGAGGAGACGAGAGTGACCGCGGCAAGTGGTTTAGTACAGTTGCGGTACCTTAAGTGGAATACCGTAATTTGCTTCATTCGTTCCTTTTTTAGACCAGAAAGCGCATCATATATAAAGCTGAATAGATAATGAATGAACGAACAGCCCACATACCCATGCATACCACGGGGCAAAACTGCCTGTCAAGCAAAGAGGCTACACGCAGCCAACTGAGTACGTTGGCTTGGAGCCTTGGCAGGCAGAGACAACAAGGAAAAGGAAAAGCCGAACCCACCTACAGATGCATGTGCTGCAGCACTGCTGGATGCATCTCTATAACAAACTGGGGGAGAGATGAGCAACCTTCCTCGGAAGGCCAAGCTGAGCACCAAGGCGAATTGGCAGCACTAAGGAGAGTTGGCAGCAAGCCACCAGAGCATGTTGGTTTTGCTGTTTCCCATCGTCAAACGCTGTCAGTGCTTCGATGTTCTCCTTCGCCGCCGCCGGGTCATACGTGGCCTGCAGCGCCCATGCAAACCCCCGCCACTCGTCCATCATGGCGTCACCCCCCAGCACAGGCAGCACTAAGCAGTATTGGCAGCAAGCCACCAGAGCATGTTGGTCTTGCTATTCCCATCGTCAAACGCTGTCAGCGCCTCGATATTCTCCCTCGCAGCAGCAGGGTCATACGTGGCCTGCAGCGCCCATGCAAACCCCCGCCACTCGTCCGTGGTGCCGTCCCCTCCCAGCACAGGCAGCACCCACTGCACCACCTGGCGATTGAAGGCAGGGTCTGGGAAGAGGCGGGCGAGGAAGGGCGTGACGGGGAGCACTTGGATGCCCACGCGCTTGTCCGTCTGCTCTGCTGCTGCGAACCACAGCCCCGCATCGCGCTTCGCCGCCCACACCATGCCGAGGAGGCGGTTTGGGGCGGCGAAGATTGGATCGTAGTTTGGAGAGGTGGACGTGGCAGCTGCTGCGAGGGCTGCTGTGGAGAGACGCGAGGAGGAAGGGGAGGGTGATGCAAGTAATTCTCTTGGTTCTGCTACTGCTGCTGCTGCAGCTGTTGCTGCTGGTACTGGCATTGTTGCTGCTGGTACTGGTGTTGTTGCTGCTGGTACTGGTGTTGTTGCTGCTGGTACTGGTGTTGTTGCTGCTGGTACCGGCATTGTTGCTGCTGGTACTGGCGTTGTTGCTGCTGGTACTGGCGTTGTTGCTGCTGGTACCGGTGTTGTTGCTGGTGCTGGTACCGGCGTTGTTGCTGGTACTGGTACTGGCGTTTCTGCTGGTGCTGGTACCGGCGTTTCTGCTGCTGCTGGTGCTGGCGTTTCTGCTGCTGCGGGTGCTGGCGTTTCTGCTGCTGCTGATGCCGGCGCCCCTGCTGGTGCTGCTGACGGTGCAGCAGAGGGGCTAGGCACACTGCCACTACCATCACCACCACCACCACTCCCACCACCACCACCGCCATCAGCACTCTCAGGCACCTGAATGAGCGTCTGTGCAGCCACAGCCTCCACAGCAGCCAGCGTGGCGCCCAGATTCGCCAGGTGCAGATCCCCAAACGCATGCCCCAGCAGCGCCACCGCATAGTACCCATTCACCGCCTCACTGAAACTCTCTTGATTCCTCCCGTCGCCAAACTCAAACAGCCCACTCGCCCACGAGTGCAGTGCGTACAAATCAAAATGCCTCAACCTGGGGAACGCCGCAGTGGCACGCGGAGACATGATATCAGAGACAAGGTTGAGGACAGAGTGCCGGTGGGTCATGGCCCATGCAGGATCCGCTTTGGCTACTACTGCAGCGGCGTACAGCCAGTAGCCGAAGTGGAAATGGTGGTCGTTGTAGCACCCCATGCCGAAATCCGCCCCCGTGTCTGCCGCCCCGCTCATGCTCACAATGCCGCCCCACGCCGGGTCGTAGAGGAGAGAGTTTCCCGCGAACGACCCGTTGAACCATGCGGTTAGGGCGTCCCGCACCACTGCTACCGCCTTCCCTGCTGCTGCTTTCTCGCCTAGTTGCTCCGCAATTAGAGCCAGCCGGGCGGCGCGGGCGGCGGTTTTCCCGAAGAAGTAGGTGGAGGTGGTGGTGATGGGGGTGAGGGCGGCGACGTCAGTCTGTAGTGCGAGGCGGAGGGAGAGGCGGAGGGCGGGATCGGAGGAAAGGCGGAGCGAGTGCCAGGAGGCGTGCAGAGGAGGCACCTTCACTTCCCACCTGCTGCCTGCTACGCCCACTGCTGGGCCGTCTAGCGTGGGGTAGACCAGCACATGGGGGTTCGGGGTTGCTGCTGATGTTGATGGGGGCTGTAGCAGAGATGGGGCGATTTGTTCTGCGGATGGTGTGATGGCTTCTGCTGCTCCTCCGGAAGATGCGGCAAGGAAGGAGGAGGCGGAGAGGGAGACGGCGGTGAGGGGGAGGGTGGGGGTGCAGGGGGGAGGAATAGACGGGGGGGCGGGGGTAGAGGCAGGGGCAGAGGCGGGGGCAGAGGCGGGGGCAGAGGCGGGGGCGGAAGAAGGGGCAGAGGCAGGGGCGGAAGCAGGTGCGGAGGCAGGGGCGGAAGAAGGGGGAGAGGTGATGGGGGGAGGCGTGGGGGTGACGGGCGGGAAGTTGACACCAGGGGGAGGTGTGGAGGAGGCGGGGGAGTAGGCTTTGAGATGCATGCGCCGATGAACTGACCCGGGGTAGAGAGGGGGAGACAGAGGGAGTGGGCACAGATGGAAGGGAAAAAGCGGGAGTGTGAGAAAGGGGTTAGGAGAAATGAGATCGATGTGTGCAACCTACTGCCACCCCACCCACTGTCACTGCACTGGCTGATCCCACACCCATTGCCACCGCACTGGCTGATAAACCACACACAGCACAAGCAGCAGCAGCAGCAGCAGCAGCAGCAGCAGCAGTCTCACAGCCCCATGGCTGCACCTTGCATGCATACTTCACCCACCATGGCTGCACCTTCACACCGACCCGGCGACTCAACCACCCACATTCCCCATTCAACCACCGGACAGGACTCACTTGGCAGGGCGAGCATGAGCGGCACAGCAGTCCCATCAGTAGCAGCAGTCCCACTACCCCACGGCGCCACCTTCCACGTGTACTTCACGCGCCACGGCTGCACCTTGACATCACCCCCCACCACCACGGCGCCCGCATATGCGTCCAGCACCGCCTCCTCCTCCGCCGGGGAGTTCCCAGGGAGCAGCGCGGCGCGCAGCGTGCCGGTGAAGGGTGACGTGGCGGTGAGCGTGCTGTTGTGGAGCGAGAAGGTGAGGGGCGCTGACGCGTACAGCAGCCACGTCTGAAAGGGGGAGTGCGGAGTTGGGGGGGGGAGGGGGGTAGATGCAGGGATGCAGAGGGGTTGAGGGAGGAATAGGAAGAATGAGTCATTTCAGGCTGAAAAAACAAGAAAGAAAGAAAAAAAAAGGCACGGCGAGCTCGACCGAAGAAACAGTGGGCAGCCAAGTTTACACTGCCTGCCAGCCAGCCGTAACCAACACAGGTGGCACTGTACCTGTCCATTGTTGAAGGTGAGTCGGTGCTTGCTGCCGTCAGCCGTGGACTGCACCTCCGTGATGGCATCGTCCGTGGCGATCACAGGTGTGGCCCCCGGTGAGGCGAACAGGAACGTGAGGTACGGACTGCCGCGCACCAGCGGCACCGTCAGCACGGGCGCGGAGGAGGTGGAGGAGGAGGGGGAGTAGGCGAGGGTGACAGAGGTGTCATCGTAGGAGGCGACCTGGTGGGTGGAGAGGCCCTCGAGCGTGGAGAGCATGAGCGTCGCCACGAACGCCTGCCAGAGAGGGGGGGGGGCACGCACGCACGCACGCACGCACAGGGAGGTGGGTTGAAGGAGTGTTGAGTGGGACTCAAAGATTGCAGTGAAAGCAAGCACGGCAGAGGGAAGTGGCTGAAGGGCCAAGGGGAACTCGAGGGGTTTGCAAGCAGGGCAAGGGGTTGGGTTTCACGAAAGAGGCATGGGGAGTGAGGGGTGAAGGTGGGTGGGAGGGAGCAGGCACGGGAGCAATGCGATGCAGAGGGGACGGGGAGGATTGGCTGCACACAGAGGAGATCACGAGAGAATACTGGAGAAGGGAGGGAAAGGAATAGGGAGCGCAGGTGAAAAAAACGGAGGATGATGGGAGGTAAGGTGCAGCAGTACAGAAGGAGAAGGGAGGGGGAGGAGGCAAAAGCGAGGGATTTGTAAGAGCAGCAGAGGAAGCAAGATAGAAGAGGCGATGGAAGAAGCAGCCAGATCCACCAATGGCTGCGATGGGCATGGATCCGCTGGGCGGCTCAGCTCAGGCTGCTCCGATAGGTGAGACGCGCACTTGAATAATTCACCCATCGGCTACCGAGAATGGTGAGCCCATCGCCTCACCTGTATAATAAACCCCGGCTGCGCGTCTCTTGGCGGCGCGCCCCACGCGATGCGCCCGTCGCTGCTCTTGACGGCGTAGGGCGGCACGACCTCGGGACCGCTGCCGTCGCCCAGCACGAAGTTCTGCCACGGCGCGTTCGTCGGGTACGGTGCCTGCACGGCGCGGCGGGGATGGGCGCAGCGGGTACCACAGAGTGGGGGAATAAACAGTCAAAGCGTGCCCCTTTTACAGTACAACCTTCGCCGTAAATCAGCGGCGTGAAAACAAAAGGCGTGAGTGGACGGACGCGCAAGCAAGGATGGCTTCTGAGCCGACCCGTACGTGACGTGCGAATGAGGATGAAAAGGGAGACCCCCCTTAAAAAATTTGGCAATTGGCCCCAGGACAGGGGGAATTGGCAATTTCCACTTCGGTAGGCTGTGAGACAGCAAATGCGTTGGGCAAATGCGAGGGACTAACGACTTGGGGCTTACCGAGAGGTTGGCGCTCCAAAGGGACGATGGCAGCGGAGCGACGGTCGAGATGAGCGACGGGAAGGCGAGCGCCATCGCGGAAACTATCAAAGCAGCAGCTTGAGTTTGTCAAGTCCAGGAAGCACTGAGCGCGTGATTGGTAAGACTTGGCTCTCTTAGTCGGTTATCGCTGAGCAGACTCTCCAGTTGCACGTACTAAGCGTTCGAGTGCTTGCTAGATTGCGCGCAGCGCATGGTGTTTCGGGGAATGAATGAAGTCTCAATGTAGACTCGACGCCCATCCGACTATTTCAAAGCAACTTCTGGGTCGAAGGCGATCGTGTTCGACACAGATCACCTCATTCACTGCGATTATGACAAGCATCTCCATGGAACTAATTTATAGAATAGTCGAAGCGCGAAGTTAGGTTCGAGGCGAGGCAAGGGCAGCTGCACTTGAGCCAGGAAGGCGAAGCTGGGGGGTGGTTTCGACAAATTGGTGTTGGAGGGGGGAGTGAGTGGTTGGCCCTAGAAGTTGGTTTTCCCGCCACGCCACCCCACAGGGCAGGCTTGGTCTGTCGAATGTCGGTGCGCTGCAGTCGTGCGTGATCGTGGGAGAAAAGTACGACCTCGAACGACACGACATCGATCGACGGTACGATCGAAGGCGTTGCGTGTGTTTGCACCTTTCCTCCAATCCAGAACCACCAGCCGCCGGGCTTATGATTGGCAGAGGATGATCTCGCAGTCCAGAAGGGAGGCATTGGCCAAGTTGGGCTGCGTGTGCGGCTTGTTGGGGAAGAAGTTACTTGGAAAGGACTCCCTTCTACCCCACAACAAGGCGAATACCCTCTTACAAGGTGCTCCAAACCACAAGATAACTAGAAATAAGCATTTCATGTAAGCAAGTTTATTTCACACTGATTTACTGCAAGGATTCGGACAATGATGCAACTACCAAGGCCGCCATGGCTGCCACCAGGGATTTCGGAGCTCTCAATGTCGGTGCTACAGATGTTACAAGCTCCAATAAGCAACTCTTGATACTCGCCTATCAACGAGGATTACTAGGATCTACCTTTTTATGTCAATACAACTGACATTGCTACTCCCTAGGTCTCAACTCGGTTGGCTACGCTGCGTACAAGTCTCGAGGACCCCTGTTATTATCAAGGCAAAGGACAATATCAAAGTTCCCAGTCAAGGCGGAACAGGCTTGCTTAATCGGCTGTTTTAAGACGCTCAGAAGCGAAGGTTTTCCAGCATTATCGTGGCTGTGGTGGCTGTTTCATCATCACGTCATGCCTCCGAGAGAGAAGCCCGTCATGTTTCCGTGATGGATCCTGCTGTTGCCAAGACGCCGGCTCCATCGATTCATCGCCCGATCTCTGCGACTGCTGTTCCTCCGAAGTCGTCGCGTGCTCTCTTTGTTTAAGAAGAGTCTGAATCCTTGACGCTCTCCGCCAAGCTCGCTGCGGTCCGGATTGAGCAAGCTGCTGATGGAGGGAAAGATGGTCAAGACAAGGGAAAGAAAAAGGAAGCAGTCTCTAAGGATTTTGTATCGGAAGAAATGGACGGAGACGCGGGAGCGGAGGAGGAGGAGGGTGTGTCAGAATCCCAGCCACTAACCAATGGGATAAAAGGGCTTGTTAAGTAGCGGGTCAGTGCGCCCATAACCCCCCAAGACAACGAGCCTGTAACCCTTCCCTAGGATCAATCGGGGATCACTAGTGTACCTCTGACACCCCCCCGCACTGGGATGCCCGAAGTGCACACACTGGGATTCGAACCCGAGATCTTCGCTCTGATACCATGTCAGAATCCCAGCCACTAACCACTGGGATAAAATTGCTTGTTAAGTAGCGGGTCAGTGCGCCCATAACCCCCCAGGACAACGAGCCTGTAACCCTTCCCTATGATCAATCGGGGATCACCAGTGGACCTCTGACAGGGTGAAGCCTCCGGCTTTGGCTCGCGCTACGACATTCTCAATGCTGATGACGACGGCCTGATCGCGCATGACCCCAACGAGAGCTTCAAGGACAAGGCAAAGGGAGAGGTAATGGCTAAGCTGAAGTTCCCGCCCACCTTGCTGATTCCTAACGAGTTCATGCAGGAGGTCCCGTTTATGGAAGCAACTGTCAAAGGCCTCTTGGTGATATGGAAGCTTGACCTTACGGAGGATGCGGCTGTGACGACTAAGTTCCAGGAACTTCTGCCTGCTTACCTTTGGAAGAAGCTTTTTGGCCACCCGCAAGTTACTTTTGTCTCTGCTGCTGACGCAAACTTCGTTTGGCGTAACAGTGTGGATCATCAGTGTAGGAATGGGAAGTACGTCACCTTCGACTGGCAATACCCGGAGGATCCGGGCTACTCAAGGAGGAAAAGGATGGAACCCGCAGCCATTGAAGTTCTGTTCACCGGTATTACCGCGGAGATCTCCCCCGAGTTGCTTCACGAGGCGCTGGTGAAATCGACCCTGAAGATATGTCAGCGACCGGCCTTCAAGGACGGCTTCTGCTTCCACCGCGTTGTCAACCCTGTCTCGGGGCTTGACACAGATCGGGTGAAGGGTTTGGTCATGGCCTTCGAGAACGATAAGTTCCGCTTGAAGCATTTTTTCGAGAACCCGGTCGCGCCTGCTACAAAGATTATGGTCCACTACCCGGCCCTGAAGTGCAGTCTCTGCGGTGGTATGCACTCGGTGCATAACCATAACGATTTCATCACCATCTGGCATAACAACATATCCAAATGGAACCTCACAGTGGGGAGGGTCCATGAGCTCAACGGTAGAGAAGGAGTTTGCTGCTTAACCTTTTACCCTGCACCTTTTCTATGCTGGCTATTGCCTGACGTCCATCTGCTACTCCCCCGTGCGTGCAGCCGCTGCGATAGTAGCAGCACTTGCCACCAAGATTGTCCTCAAGGACCCGGCCTTGGTTCTCATATCAACGACTGCCAATCGGGAGGAATGGGTCTGCCTACTGGAGTGCTGCGAAAAGGGGAAAGGCTCATCCTTCGAGCAGGCGGTGCATCATGCCCTCTCACAGCGGCTCAGTGGGGGGTTGTCGAAGCCAGGAGCAGAAACGCGTGCGTTAAAGGAACAAGCCGAGCCTCTGTGTGCTGAAGAAGGTGTACGAGATCTAGCGGAGTGTGTACCTGCGCAAGGAGGGGACAGGAGCTCAATAGTTTTACGATGTATGCGCCTATCAATGTATGCAATGCTATATAGTGCTCACCTGTGGTCTTTCATATATCTCACCTCAGCCCGTGGATGCTATGGGGCTCCCACGTTGTCAATTAATGGATAAACCCTGCAACCTATCGGTGTGTGAGCTCAACGTCAATGGGCTCGGGAGCAGGGGAAAACAAAAGAACTTGAGATCCTGGATCAAGAAGGCTGCTGACATTTTCGTACTCACAGACACGCGTATCGCGCACGACCACCGCTTCTGGAAGGACCTGAAATATCAACACTGTCACACGGTCACGAACGCAGAAAGAGCAGGAGGGGTGGCTATCATCAGTAACAACGCTCAACTTACCTTTGAGAACGTCATATCACACGAGTCTAGCAACTTCAAGCGGATATCAGATGGGACACTTTTACTCTCACCTTGTTGGCGGCTTACCTCCCGTCGAGTGCCTGCTGCCGACAAACCTTCTTCACGGATGTGCAGGGCCCCTTCTTGGGCAAATTGGGTAGCAGGAGCCGGTTCCTCCTAGCGGGTGACCTCAACCTGATTGAAGACCCGGCGCTGGATAAGTCATCTGGCGCGGGCTCGTCGGGAGAGAACGTTAGACTGCTTCAAATGTTCAGCGGCCTTCACATGGTGGATGCGTACTGCGTGCTGAATCCGAACGGTCAAGAATACACCTTCTACTCTCGGTCGCAGAAGGCCAGTTTGAGGATCGATCTGGTGTTAGTGTCGGCGGGCGTTTCACTCCCGGCCGTTGAGGGGGATTTCGGATCACAAATTTGGGATCAAGGTGGCGTTGAGGGCGAACCTGTGTCTTCACATGGGTCCTGGTCTATGGTTATGCCTGCGGTGGACACAACAAAGCCGAGAGCAGAGAAAGTGATCCAGGCAGTTACGGAGAGACACCGCGCGGGGGGGTCCAAGAGTTTTGGCTGTTGACGGGAATAGGTTGTTGGCCCCGCCCTCGCTTGGGCGACGCTGACTTCCTGGTCGGACGCGCGGGTGGTGCGGCCGACCTTTCTGCAGGGCTCGACGTGTGCTGGTCGACGGGGCTGTTGACCTGCAGGCGACTGCTGCAATGCCGCCGTCGATGGGAGCCGTCGGTCTAGCTCGACAGGGGAGGTCGACGGAGCAGTCCGTCGACCTGCGGGTGACCTGCGGGCAGGGTATCGAGGTTTGGAGCTCGACGGCTGCAGCTGATCGTGCTGGTCGACGGGACTGTCGACCAGGGTAGTTCGACGGGGAGGTCGACGGTGCAGTCCGTCGACCTGCGTAGGACATGTGAGCGGCAGTCGACGAGGGGAGCTCGGCGACAGCAGCTGACAGTGCCACCAGACGGAGGGGTCCGTCGACCAAGGTGGTCTTCTACGGTCGCGGTCGTCGACCAGGGCGCACACTGGGTGGTCGACCAGGTAACCAGCTCGGCGAGTTCTGCGGAGGCACGCGAACGTCGTCGAGGTCGCGATGGCGAAGGCGACTTCGGGCTGGTATCCCGAAGTCCATGTGGCTCGTCAGGCGCAGAACACAGCCGACAGATGCACAACGGTGCAAGTCGGGCCAACCGTCTGCGCCCACCTGCGGGCGTGCGCACTGCTGTCTTCTACCGGTGCAGCGCTGGACAGCCGCCCTGCTGCAGCGTTGGCACGCCGTCGACCTGCTGTGTTGGCAGGTCACCTTTATGTAGTGCTGGCACGGCTCCTCTACGCAACGCTGGCAGGCGGTCGACCATGCTGTGCTGGCGGTCGAGCAGCTACTATGCTAGGTTGCTAGGCTGATGTAGTCATTCTTGCCATTGTTGTACCAATCATTATGGAATCCCAACTTTGCTAGTGGAAACTCTTGCTGAATTCTCCCGTGAATGTGCAAGTGCTAAGGAACGCATAAAAAGCTATG